TGGTATGGTACATTGCAGTACAATTTCAGAGAGATCTATACACTTGAACACAAGTAATTGTCTGGAAACTAGAAAAATGCTTATTTTTGGTTCCTTTTTGGCCCCTAATTCCTAAAATTTTGAGGCAATTACCCCCAAAATCAATCCCAGCATTCCCTTTGTGATATGGAACCTTGTGGTACAATGTCAGAGAGATCCATACACTAACACACAAGTTATGTCTGAAGGTTACAAAAATGCTTATTTTTGGCCCCTTTTTCCTTGACTGTTGGTATTATTACCCCCAAAATCAATCCCCACCATTCTTTTGTGGTATTGAACCTTATGGTAAAATTTCATGGAGATCTATTCACTTTTAAAAACTAAAGTTAGAGTGCGAAAACCAATGTGTCTTCGGACGACGACGACGACGACGTCATAACAATATACGACCACAAAATTTTTTTGCGGTCGTGTAAAAAACTGCAAAATTTCTGTAAAATTACTAACTCAGGGGCAGCAACCCAACAATGGGTTGTCGGAGTCCTCTGAAAATTTCAGGGCAGATAAATCTGAATCTGATGAACAGATTTGCTCTAAATGCTTTAGTATCAGAGATATAAACCAAAAACTGCATTTTACCCCTATGTTCTATTTTTAACCATGTCGGCCATAATGGTTGGAAGGCAGGGTCATCGGACAAATTTTTTAAACTAGATACCCTAATAATGATTATGGCCAGGTATGGTTAAATTTGTCTCAGTAATTTCAGAGAAGAAGATTTTTGTAAAAGATTATACAAAAATTTACAAAAATTGTTAAAAATTGTCTATAAAGGGCAATAACTCCTAAAGGGGTCAACTGACAATTTTGGTCATGCCACTTATTTGTAGATCTTACTTTGCTGAACATTATTGCTGTTTACAGTTTATCTCAATCTATAATAATATTCAAGAAAATCACCAAAAACTGCAAAATTTCCTTAAAATTACCAATTCATGGGCAGCAACCCAACAACAGGTTTTCAGATTTGTCTGAAAATTTCAGGGCAGATAGATCTTAGCCTGATAATCAGTTTTACCCTTTGTCAGATTTACTCTAAATGCTTTGGTTACAGAGATATAAGCCAAAATCTACATTCTACCCCTATGTTCTATTTTTAGCCATGGCAGCCATTTTGGTTGGTTGGCGGGGTCATCGGACACATTTTTTTAACTAGATACCCTAATGATGATTGTGGCCAAGTTTGGTTAAATTTAGCCCAGTGGTTTCAGAGGAGAAGATTTTTGTAAAAGCTAACGATGACGGACGACAAATGATGAGAAAAGCTCACTTGGCAATTGGGCAAGGTGAGCTAAAAAGGTTGCAAGCGAAAAAATCGTCAGAACCACGTTGTTTGAACTAGTACATGTGTGGACATGTGCACAGGTGTGAGGTTTAATTATGCATCCGAATTTTCCAAAAATGCTAAAATTATCATTGATACCTTTATCTAATGTTCATTTCAAGTATTTTCCTGAAGAAATTACGTAGAAAGAGCTACATTAACTCAATCGTGCTTTGTAAATGTATACTGATTTTACATATCCGTCTCTGGTCCATGGTTTACCATTGCCAAGTCAACATCCGGTATTAGTAAAATGTGTTTTTTTAAAATTGAAAGCGAAGTTTTTGACAACGTAATTTTTCACAAATAAAGAGTCTAAGGCAGATATCAGTACGCTGATATTGCACACTTCAAAATGATGCACCTTCAATTGAACAGTTTACGTCAGAACATCGAATTTATATCAAAAGTCAAGTTTAAGATCGTTTTTGTGTCAATCATTGATATGAAGCCCAACTGATTAAACTGTTTGCCTTTTGTTACTAAGTCTTAAGTGACTGAAATCATTAAGACAAAAAATGTCCGGCTGGCTCAAATATTTTTGGAAGCCCTGCATATGACGGAAACTTCTTAACATAAGGCATCTATATACAAAGTATGAAGCATCCAGGTCTTCTACCTTCTGAAATATCAAGCTTTTAAGTAGTTAGTTAACGCTGCCATCACCTCCGCCAGATCACTATCTCTATGTCTCGCTTTCTGCGACAGAAGTCGCAGGCTCGACAAAAATGAAAACTTGTTTTTTATGTGTGGTCAGGGTCTTTAAAAGTGCCTCGCTATGCCTTTTCCCCAGGGGTTTAATTGGGGAACAGCCCTAATTCATAAGTGATGTAATCAGTATTTAAACAGATGCTGTCACCTATTCTCTATATATAAATCGGCAAGAATAGAGAGCAACAGAAACATAAATTTTAACTTTTCTAAAGAATTGCAACAATCTGTGCAAAAGAATAAAGAGAACGACTTTTGCATCTAAGTTTCCAATTTCCTAGCCACTGAATGTAGGAGACAATAATCTATTTCTTGTGGTAGAGTTAACAGAGGTAAGTAAGATGAATTTGATACTTAACTCTTAAGGTGGTACCCAACACCTTGACTAATATTAATTTGGCTCGTTTAATTTTCATAAAATTTTGACAAAATGTTTACTTTGACCCTTTGACAAAAATATAAAAATTTCAAAAAATTTGAACCAACCACTTTATCAGAAAAATTTCATTGGTTATATAGCAGTTTGACAAACACTAATTTTGATCATTGAAAAGCTTAATATTTCCTTAACAATACAACGTAATTAAAACGTTAAGCTGATTTTTACAGAGTTATCTCCCTGTAGTGTTAGGTACCACCTTAAAAGCAATTTTTCAAACTTTTTGGGATAGATAATATTGAAAAGCATACAAGATATTACAATTTTAGGAGTAAATAACCTCCTTGGTTTATTTACAAAATGCATTGTACATACTGGTATCAACCTGTACATTTATACAAAATAACATTCCACAAAATACACAACTGGTATGTACAATAGACAGTGACAACCTTGAGGTCACACTGAAATGACCTTAAAATTTACATATGTAAATGTACAACAGTTACAGTATTGTTATTTTAATTTTACGATTCTATTAAAGCTAGTATCAAAACAAACGAAAATTGTCCATGACTGTGGATTTTGAAATGCTACACGATTGCAAATATAGTATGAGTTCATATTTTATTTATTTTTTAAAACAGTGATTGCCATTTTACATTTTATCATGGTAAAAGCTGCCATTTAATTGGTCTAGATTCTAATCTCACTTTCCAGCTTTTCACAGTCATACCATCTTCTTGTAAATCATCCGAAATATGAATATTAAAAAATCTTTCAGTAATAAAAAAATTGAAGATAACAATAGTCAATGTATATTATAGTTAAAGTATACCCATACCTCAAAAATATTGCTTTTTTAACAGAAAATACGGAACAGTTGTTTTCAAATTACAATTTTTTACAAGATTCTTAAAAGTAAATGCATGTTACGAAAAACTTACTTTACACTTAAATGGAAGATTGTAATAAAATTACCAATTTAATCAAAAATGGTATAAAATGTTCAGAGAATGCAACAAAAGTATTTCTAAATCATTTTAATCTAGTATTGCTTTTGACTTTATAAAGGAATTCTCCATTTTAATTTTTATAATTGAAACAGAACAAATACGTCCAACAAATTATAAAAATTCCATAGAAAACATCAAAATAAAAATGTTTTAAATTCTGACATTAATGGAATGACATGCCACTTTGAATGCTACAACTTTAAAACTGAAAATTATATAAATTGTATCTAATAGCAAAACAAAGGATATGGGGTATCTAATTTAGAAACTTAAATACTAATAATTCAAAGAATCCTTAAATTCCCAGGCTTATTTTCAAAATATTTAACAAGACACATTTTAACCCCAAGGGCTGTTCCATTAAAACATACATGATACCCAGGAAAGGCACTTTAAAAATGGGGTAACAACCTATAGTGGCAAATTTAAATTTTACTTACATTTCCACTATGCAAAAACATAGATGACAACCACCCACAGTTGAGATTTGTAAGTGCCTTCCCTGGGTCCCATGTATGTTTTTATGGAACAGTCCTAATAATATTGTGAATAATTTGTAGATTTATAAGACATGTATTTTTGCTGATGGATGAAATTGTTTTGGAATTCTGAAGTTGAAAGCAAACTTTTCTCATTCACTGCAGAAATTCCATGCAAATGATACATAAAAGTGTTATCTGAACTTAACAAAAAGAAGGTCAATTACAAAAACTATATATTTTTTTCTTTGAAAAAACTATTCAATAGAATTTCTTACATTTATATCTTGTATTGTAAAACTTGAATTACAAAGACAAAAAAATTGTCTGTAACATTGCCTCTGTATCAACTCTTAAGAACAAACATTAACAAAACAATACACCTCAAGATTAAAATAAATACATATTGATCACAAGAACAGCACTTTATTAATACAGCATTAAAAATTGAGAATAGTCTGGGTTACTGTGGACTCATTACTATTCGAGGTATACCAAATTTCGTGGATAAAGGTATATCTTTAAATTTAAATGTTCACCGAATAACAAATTTTCAATAGGCTTGAATGCAGACTTTGTAAAAACCATGAAATCAAATATCCACGAAATAACTTTTTTTTTCTCAATCCACGAAAATTTGGTACCCATGTTTTTTTTCTCAATCCACGAAAATTTGGTACCCATGAAAATAAATGAATCCCCAGTATTCTAACACAAGGAAAATAAAAATCATAGTACATTAGCAAAAAAAAAAAAGTGCTTGTGATAACGTCTAGGAAATTGATAACTTTCAAAAATAAAGTAACCTGTATTTGCAGGAATTTCCTATTGAATATTTCATGGGCAGAAAAAGATTTCTGGACCGTTTTAAATTTGGATATTTTTCAGCGATTACAAAAAAAAATTTAAATATACAAGCTTCTTAATAAATTTATTTATATTCACATTTTTTTCTGAAATAGTTTTTGTCCAGAAATTAACTTTTCCAAATTTTATTTCTCTTGTTATCATAAATATGTCAGAAACGATTTTTAAAAAGCCTTTCTTAAAAAACTATAGACTTGACAAAATATTGCCTGACAATACCAGTTTCAAAACTTTATAATAAGACTGGTACAACTGGGAGACAGACATCTCAATTTGATATGTAAATACTATATGCAAAATGGCTAATAATTCATTTTTCTTTGATCTAGGTTTCAGACATATGAGACACAAATGTAACGAATACACTATTTCAATCACAAAAAAAAATTACACGACTTTTAACGTCAATATTTCTTCATTGAATTTAACTCAATTCATTTCATCCATGATCACAATATTACTGAAAATATGGGGTACTATGAAATAAAATGAAGGGTACAATAAAGTTTATTTGGCTTAGAAAACTTAATATTGGAAATGCTATTCTTCGTATTTTTTTCAATTTCTACTCCAAAACGTTCATTAATTATATCCTTGACAACTGAGGACAAATATTTCCTGTCAATAATGACAACCAAGAAATTGATTTATAACAGTAAAATTAACATTACATTTAAACCATGATAATGAATAATCATAAACATTAATAAGAGCAATGGTCTGTAAAATTTTGGCTAATTTTAACAAATACTCTATTTCAAAAAATCCAAACGCTCACCGTCCAAGAACCCATATTTCCTTTTTTGTTCTTTGAACCATAGATGGATTAACTAAGAAACTCTGACTTATATTCATAGAATTATGTTCAATGATTTTGAAAAATTATTGAGTGATCCCACTTTTGGCGAACAAATTTTGAAGTATCCTGAATGCAAGTGATTTGTACAGATATACAGAGAATCCATCCACAATTTTTTTTTTACCACAAAACATGGCTACTAACAATGGTACCTTGGAGTTGTGGGAAACAAATTTTCCAGGCCTAGAGAGAGACCCAGACTAGCTAACAACTAAAATTGCTTGGTAAAGAGACCTCTATCAAAACTTGTTAATTTTTGCAAGATATTTCTTTAATAGAATTTAAATAAATAATTTTTCTTATCACAATTTTGTTTTCTTACAAATACAAACCCTTGTCTTTTAAAAACAGCAGTCATGATAGCAACTGCACCAAAAATGCAGTAGGATTTATAAAATCACAATTAAAGCATAAACCATGCATGTATTATCTAATTTTTCTAGCAAGGTGTTAAAGAAATTTGTTTTCATCATGAGCTAATTTACCAAACAAATATGAGGCATTAAGCCAAAAATGCTTTAATGGAAGTTAGATAAATCTAGTTAGTGCAACTTGAATCATATGGATTCAATGATGCACTATTGATTTCAGAACCTAGCATTTTTTTTAACTAGCTTCAACGAAATCGGACTGTTTATTCATTATTTAATATGAGATACTAACTTTCGTTGATTTCCTACATATAGGTTAACAAAGAATTTAAATGTTGAACCAAGTATAAATTTCAATAGCCTAGTATGCAGACGTTAACAAAACAACCCAATCAATTATCCCCAAAAACACATTTTTTCCTAAATCAAAGAAACTTGGTATCCACGAAAAAATAAACCCACAGTAATTGAACTCCAATAATAATTGGTTAACACATGAATGGTTTATGCTATAATTTAATAAAGAACACACATGGCTATAATATTAGAAGTTATCAAGATGAGTCAGGTTGCTTCTTTTTCTTTCCATATTTATTTACATAAGCTTCTACGAGAGCTGCTATCTTTTGAGGATTAATATCACCACTTTTGCTATGGCAAACCTGAAAGAGAAAACAAATAATCAAAAAAATATTAAAAACATCATTGATTGTTACATATTATCATCCTCAGTACTGCAATGTTTTTTTTTTGGTGAAAATTGCAATTGCATAGATTTTTGCAAAAATAGAAACTCCAACTATAGATTGTTTTAGCATTGTTTGTATGCACTATTTCCTGAAATCAAAATAATTATGCCCCCCATACATACAGAAATATCAAAAGTTTGATCAATTCAGGAAATAGGTATGACAGATCCTAAAAGTGCCCACACGTTACAACACATCGCTGTCAAGCTGATGACCAAATATGAAGTCATTCTGTTGGTTAGTTTCTGAAAGAAATGCATGACAAAAAATATTTTTGGATGAATGAAGGTAAGGACAAAGAGATAGTAACAAGCACTCTGTGAGTATTGCATGGCAATACATAGTCCCTTACCGGTTAAAAATTCATTGTAATGGAACAAAATTCTAACTTGATCTATAACTTGTCATGGTGTAAACTACATAAAATAACAAACAAACCTACCACTAAATTCTTCAAACAATTTACTAAAGAAAAGGGAAAAAATCCAAAATGTAATTTTTCATTAATACAATGTCTTTTAAAAATCTTTTAAAAAATGAGTTATTTCCCTTTGAACAGAAATCTAGTAATTAATAAGTAGTTCATCAAAAATTTATTTCTAGGGAAAGGGCTTTAACTGAACAAGGAGAAAAGCTAAAATCGTGAAGATTGAACTTGACCTGTAACTTGTCATGATGAAACAATACACCAAATATCAAATCAATATCTTCAAGCATGAAGAAAAAAAGTCTGGAAAACTGATTTGCCGGACTGACGGATGGACAGACAGACGGACAGAGTACAAACCTAATGTCCCCTTCGACTTCGTTATATCAAGAATAAATACACCACAACTTTAAAAATACAGAAGAGCATACATATCAAGCACATATCAAGCACGGGGAAACTTTCTACAGCCTCCACACAGCAGGAGAAACAAACTCCATTAATATAATAGAAAAACAAAGGATATTGGGTATTACCTTAGGAACAGCCTTTCTCATAATTTCTTTATACTGATCTTTATCAATTCTTCCATGACTATAAAATGGTTTTAATGCAAGTTTGACTTCATCCACCACTCGTTCTTGTAAATGCAGCTTCTTAAGGAACTGAAAAAGAATTCACAATATATATTATATAGAGATTTAAAATAAGAGAGATAAGAATCAGTTGTGGTACCACTGAAAGTATTTTGTTAACTGTCCTATTTCTGCAGTTGCTCTTATATTGGTCTGTTCTACATTCATGCTAAAACAAGAGATTCAATTAAGTTACTTACTATTTGATAATTATATATTTATTTTGATTTACAAAGTATTTAAAATATAATAGAACTCCCAATTTCTAGAGTTTTTATTATAAAGTTATTCTATTTATCACTAGTTCTTAGGTGAAAATTTATAACCGAAATGACCAAAATATTTGTTCTATTTTATTCATTGTGTACTAGTTATTGGTGTAGACTCTATTTACAAGTACATTATGACCAATTTTTATATAAATGCAGCAATAACATTGTATGCAGGATTTCCTATAATATATCTCATATTTTTTGTCTTTCTGAATTTACAGTATAGTTCATGTACTGTAAATTCAGAAATTATTGCGATGTTTTTATTATTGCGAAAAATGCGACAGGGTTCTAATCGCAATAATTTTAACTCGCATTTTGAAATTTTTTATATGAATTAAACAGGATTTTTCTCAATATCGCAAAAATTAAAATCGCATTTTAGTCTAAAATGACAAAATTGCAATAATAAATGCACGCAATAATTTCTGAATTTACAGTAAATAATTAATATCAAACGAAAATTTTCATCAAGAAAGCAGATCATTCAAAAAGTTGCCTCCCTTTGCTGGAAAATTTACCTTCTCCTTATTAGTCAGCTCCACAGCTGATGAAGGCTCATCTTCCAATTCAAGTTCCCTAATCACATCTTTTAAATTTTCATCATTAACTGTCATAACAGGTTTTTTTCTAGCATCATTAAATTTCACACTCGATGACGAATCTCTCACCTTTTTGTCTTTACGTTTTTCTTTCTTGTCATGTTTATCTCTTCGTTTTTTATTTTCTTTCTGTTTTGAACCGAAAACAACTTTATCAAAGTTATCAGGAGAATCAGGAATTTCGATACTACTTTCATCCAGAGGAGATGCAACGTCCATATCAACCACATCAGTAGATTCTGCCTCTTTAACAATTTTTCCATTGCTCGTTTTAATTCTTGGCGGCAAAGGGACTTTGAATGGATGATCTTTCGATTTACCTTTAGCACTATTGTGTGACGATTTCACAGAAGTCTGCTTGTTTTTATTCACTAACTGTGCCAGTTGAGCTTGTGCATTGAGAAGTTTCGTTAGCTGATTCAACTGCTCAGCAGCAGTTGGTTGCGTTTTCTCTGAATCTTCATCACTATTTTTAATAATGTCATCCCCTTCATTTTCATCAGGGGATGGATATTCATCTATAGGTGATTTTGAAGCATTGGTTGAAGTCAATGGATTCAGATTTTGAATAATTTTATTATTAAGTGAAGTTTTTAAGTTTGCTATAGAAATTAAAGGTTTATTTCTTGAGAGAGCTACACTTGATGACAACTGTGGCGACTGAGATCGAGATATTTTAGCAAGTGTTGATGCTTCTACTGCTAAGTTCATGAAGGGTGTGTCATCATTGGTTGGTGTTGGCGGAGTATAAACAGGTTCTGGATCACTGACTGGACTAGCCATTGTGACCTGTGGATTTGACAGAGGTACCTGAATTCTTGTTAACAGTGCTGGCAATTTAGTCAATGGATTTCCTAATGCTAACTCCGGACTAGGTATTCCAATCTGAGAATTAGGAACAGACATCGGATGACTGGATAAAGCCAAATGAGGCAGTGGTCCACTTAATGAGATTGGTGGTCCTGATAATGTCATATGAGGTCCATCTAGTGGACCAGAAATTGATACAAGATCTAGAGGACTTGGTACAGAAACTCTTGGTTCCATTCCAGGATGAATCTGCAATGGGGCACCAGCATGACCAGGTGGAGGACCCTGAGCAAGCACATGTGGTGGCAGCTGTAAACGAGGATCTCCAGCTAAATGAGGTGATCCCTGCAGCAGCTGAAACGGAGGAGGTGGTTGTGAAGTGTCCGTATGAATGCCTTCAAAATTACCGTTAATCAAACCAGGCTGAGGTGGCAGCGAACAATGTGCCATTCTAGGTTGAAAATGTCCTTGTACTGGTAATGTCACACCATCCTGAGTTGTTACAAAAGGAGGCAAATGCCCAGGAGGCAAACGAAATCGTGGCTGCATATGAGGTGGTCTGTTCATTATTAATGGATTCATCAACATAGCTCGCTGGGGTGACATTCCAGGTCGTAATCCTTGTAATATTCTAATTCCAACTGGAACATCAGGCTGCACAATTGGTGCCTCACCTCTCTGAAGAATAAATTGTCCTCCTTCCCCAAGAATTCCTTTGCCTAGCTGAGGTGGAAGCTGAGGAAGAGGTGACAAGCTAAGCCCTGGGAAGTTTTCATCAATCGGCACTGAAAGTGGTGGTTCACCAATAATTATCTGAGGATTTCCTTGCATTGATTGATTATTTAAATCAGTATATTCCACGGGAGTTCCTGGTGGACTTCTTTCATCTTGCAAAGGTGACGGAGACTCTTCCATATCATCTGTGGGAAATGCTGGATCATATTCAGGACTATTACTAGTCTTTTCAACTGTATTGTTTATCACAGGTATACAATTATTTGAATTGTCATTTTCAGAATTTTTGTCTTTTTCAATATTTATTTCATGAATATTTGTTTTGTCATCATCTTGTACAGAAGGTAATGGAACAAGATTTGGACGATGTTTATGAAAACTGTCAACAGTGTTAATTACAATCACAGATTCTTGTGCTGGTTCAGGAATTTCTGTGTCCATATCAGAATTATCGTCTGCAAACATATCAAACTCATTCTTTTCTGTAAAAATGTCAATGATTTTAGAAATTGGTTGAATTGCTTCTACAACCTCAGTTTCCTTTTTTTCAACTGGATGTTTTGCTTTTTTCATTAGCAATTCTATTTTGTCTTCCTCTTTATCTTCAAGTGGTCGTTTCAATGGAGATTGCAGTACATTTTTGACGGGAGATTCACGACTTTTCTTTTTCTTTTTAGCCTGCTTTAAATCTTCACGTTTCTTCCACTTATCATCAAACAAATCAATAAGCCTTCCTGTATCTAACCTACCAGAGTCAATAGTCGCAATATTTAATGACACTTCTGGACTGACTTCCCGCCACCTGTTATAATCTCTGTCTCGACTGCCATCTCTACTTTTTTCTCTGCTTTTGATTTTTGTCCTTTCTCTACTAAGACTTCTATCTCTACTTCTGTCCCTCCGTTTATGCTTTCTAGACTTTTCTCTAGACCGATCTCTTTCTCTTGATCTATCTCTATCTCTGGAACGATCTCGTTCCCTGGATCTATCCCTTTCCCTTGATCTGTCTTTTTCTCTAGACCACCGATCTCTAGATCTACGGCTTTTTTCTCTTGATCTTGATCTACTTTTATGACTTTTTCTATATTTGTCCCTTGAACGAGATCTACGTGATCTTTCGTGAGATCTTGATCTATGTCTACGGTCACGTGATCTACTACGCGATTTATATTTTCTCTTCTTTCTTTCCTTACTTCTGTCACGTTCATGGTCTTTATCACTTTCACGTCTTTTACGATTTTCTTTTTCACTTGCATCTCGATCGGATTTTTCCCTCTTTACAACACTTTTGAGATCTAAAGTTTGTCTAGATCTAGGTTTCTGATAGTCAGATCCAGAATAGGACTTGATAATTTTTTTATCTAAATTTTGAACATATTCAGTTTCATCATCATCATCAGGAATTTCTATTACTTCTACTTCCTGACGAGGTGGAGTTGCAATAATGACATCTTCTTCAATTTGTTCTTTTGATGTTTTAGATTTTTTGACTTTTTGTTTCTCAATAGCACTTTCTTTGTGTTTTTTCACTTTCTTTTCACTCTTTTCAAAGGTTTCTTTTGTCTTCTTATCCTTTCTCTCCTTATCATGTTTATGTGAATCTCTTTCTGATTTTTCCACATTTTCCAACTCAAGATTTCCTTCATTTAGAAAGGAGCCTAAAGAAAATGCAAGAGGCTTGTTTTTTTCTTTTGTACTTTCCTTTAGTATTTCTTTTCTATTGTCTTTATTGGAATCTTTCTTACTTGATTTCTTGCCTTTACTTTCTAACTTTTTCAATTTTGCTTGAGCTATTTGCAGTTTTTCCTCAAGTTCTTTCTCCTCAAGATCCTCATGAAAACCATTACTTTCATCAGAAATATCATCCAATTGTGAGATATTTTCACAACTTTTTTTAGACGATACACTTTCAGCAACTTTGTCATTTTTATCCTTATTTACAGATACTTTGACTTTATTTTTTGCATCAACACTAAGTCGTTTCACTTTCTCTTTGCTCTTTTCTTTGTTGCTTATTATTTCCATATTTTTAGAAGTTTTATCACTATTTCCACATTTATTTGACTCACTATTTTCCTTTTGCAATTTAGCATAATCATCTGAATTTCCATCCTTTGTATTAGTTTTCTTAATTTCATTATTTGCATCACCTTTCTTATTTTCATTAATCGGATCAACTTTGGTTTTTTCATTATTTACTTTCTTAGACAGCGAATCACTAAAAATACTTTCTGGTAGGTCCTCATATAACTTTTCCTTTATCACATTAGTATCTATTTTTCTATCTAAATATTTCAGCTGAGTTAAAGATTCATCACTGATGTGGCTACTCCCAGTCTGTGTACCTTTATCAGGAGAAACCTTGTCAGTAGCTTGTGGAGCTGAAATAAGATTAATTGAATGTTAAACACATTTATTTCATGAAACCATACGTTGTATGCTACTGTGTTGTACGCTACTGTGGATTCAGTATTTTTGGTTGGTACCAATTTTCATGGATTGAAGAAAAATTGTATTTTCGTAGATATCTGATTTCATGGCTTTGCCAACGTCTACATACAAGCCTTTCGAAATATGTGTACTTCTTTGAACATTTAAATTCAATGTTCAACTTTGCCCTTAAAATCCATTAAAATAAGTTTCTCACAATTTATAATGTATCCATGTTATTTCATTCCACTTACATGACATTATACATTTGTGATTGTCTCAATTCCCTTCAAATAAGAACACACCAATTAAATTGTAATTTCTTTCAAAAGACATCCATATTTCCCTATTTCTGTTTTGTTGTTTTTGATTTTTTGGGGTCCAAAAACATGCCTGCTCCATATTTAAAACCTGTCAGCTTGTGCATTTTTTACATTTTAACAAAATTGGTATTCCCACTGGTCTTCATATTGTTTTGATTTTGACAAAATAAAAGATTGACAAAGAGTGAACTTTGAACTCGTTATAATAATAAGTGGCATAGTGAGAAGAATGAAAGAGTTTTTTAAACATAGTTACATTGTGATTGGAATTGAATCAATTTAAATCTAAAAAAATTTCGAAGTGTTTATCAGTGGCCAAATTGACAAAAATTATATCAAGGAGATATATAGCAAAGCCATAAAAAAAATGCTTATTCCAATAGAATACAAAAACCTTAAATATATATCAACAATGCCAACCCTTCTGCTAACAAGGTCTAAATTGTGTGCTTTGGAAATATAAAGTAGAGCATACTTAGTAGTTTTAATAGTTCCCAAAATAAACAAATTTAATCCTCCAAACAGTCCTATTTTTTAGAGAGATGATTGAGTGGCCTTACAGAAGTAGTACTTATTATCAGGTATCGTCCTGAACATGCATAAAATATCAACCACTGGACAATAAACAACCAATAATCATTAATATTCCCAAGTAAATATCGATGATATTTTGTTCAAAACTAGAAATCTGTCGAATTATTTAAGCACTGTTACTTTTGTTTGGCATAACTGTATATCTGGTTATTTTTGTGTCTGGTTTTGTTCACTAGATCGGCTTTAGAAAAAGGCAGTTAAATCTTTGCCATGCTCACTGTTAAGAATTTCTTGGCCTTGTATAATGTGTTTCAATGGACAGTGAAATTTTTGCATATTGTCAATTTTTGAGGCAAAATGTTTAATGCAAACTAAGCAAAAATGTTCCTATAAATGGTAAAATGCAGCCCTGTGTATTATGTTTTCTTCCTGAAACTGGTGATTAAATATTCTTCTAGACTGTGTTGTTAATTCTAATCTGCAATGAATCCCTGAATAGATCTTACAGACTGATTAATGGTTAAAGTTAATAACAAGTTAAAACATTTCGAGCAAATATTAAGTCCTGGATACCAGTTGACTATTAAGAGCAACCCTGTCCTTGATACAAGAAATTCCTTTTTAGCAGCCCAGTCTTTTAATCATAAATATTCTTTTCTAGCAACCAAGTCCTGTATTCCAGAGACACATTTGAAACAACACAGTCCCGGGCAACACAGTTCTGAATACCAGATAAACATTTCTAGCAACTACCTCCTAGATACAAGTTTAAACATTTTAAAAACCAAGTCCTGCTTGTTATAGCAGTTTTTTCAGCCTGACCAATTTCTTACCCATCAGATTTTCACTAAAGCTATCGTCAAGGAAACATAATTCCCTGACATTTTGATCTCCCTTCATTTCTTTCTCACTGTCAGTCGTATTGTCTAAAACTTTCACATCAATAACAACAGTGCCCTGGCTAGTTACAGATGAATCGAGCGTTGAAGTTGTATCTAAAACAGTGGATGAAGAATCTAATGGTAAACTTGTACTTTGATTGATTTCTGAAAACATTATGTCATCAAATGTACCTGAATCTTCCAAGGGAGGTAAATCATCATATAACGCTATTTTAGATTTGGGCGATATCAGAGGACCTGATGGTCTCCTTGTTGGTTTCTTTTCCACTTCTTTCTTTTTAGTTAATGATCCTACAATCAAATGTTACTTTAATATCATATATTTCATGTTTAATGGTAAAAATATTTTATTCTAACATGACGTTCTTCATATGCTTTGAGTACACACCCGTGGTAAAATATGAATATATTGTTAGGGCTGTTCCGATCGTACTCCCACGTCATATGCTTTTTTATGAATGAGCTGCCCGACGTCATACAACGATGACGTAAGAATATGAGGATTTTACGGGAAAATACAAGCTTGTGAAACCGAAAATCATCACCACAAGGAAACGTAAACAAACGATGCTAAAATGTGTTATAATCCAATTTTTTTATACATATTAGACATATAAATAAAATTCTTATTTAAATTCATCCAAACCTATTTAAATACATTATTGTAAATAGTTTAAGCATGTCACTTATTCAGTTTGCTCCGTTCTTTTACGTCAATTGAATAGTGCGTTTGTTTATGGGAATGGCAAATATTTGCCTCCACCTAGAGCACTTCAATCCAAAAGAATTGCCGTATTTGTCCTATTAGAATCGAAATATTTCATGGGGGCTTGAATATATCGTGATTTTACCATGGGTTGTCCCTTTATGCCGATATTTTACCCCTCGCTATCGCTCAGGGTAAAATATTTAGCATAAAGTGCCAACCTGTGGTAAAATCACAATATATTCAAGCCCCCATGAATTATTTCTTAATTTGATTTTTACCTTTTCAAAAAAAAAAAGCATAGGTAATGATTAGGACTGACAATATGATTCTAAGGTTTTGAAACATTTGTCAGCTTTCTTTTGATAGATTGGTTAATTGATGGTATTAAATGCTACTTTCTGCACTCTTGGCTATATCGTTGCAACCAGTTTTTGTTGGTTGAGGAAGACAGAGTACCAGGAGAGATCCACATATCTTAGACCTTCTGCAGGAAAACTGGTAATCCTAGTCAATTTAGATCTTGTCACAACCAGGGTTTGAACTGACAACCTAAGTGTTGTCAGGCTTTAGGTTGTCAGGCTTGTGATCACTGTAGATAAACTACTAAGTGTTGTCAGTCTTGTGATCACTGTAGAAAACTACCAAGTGTTGTCAGGCTTGTGATCACTGTAGATAAACTAATAAGTGTCGTCAGGCTTGTGATCACTGTAGATAAACTACTAAGTGTTGTCAGGCTTGTGATCACTGTAGATAAACTACTAAGTGTTGTCAGGCTTGTGATCACTGTAGGTAAACTACTAAACGTTGCCATCAAGTGATTTTACATTTATATATTTATTAATGAGCAAGAATGTTGTGTGCAGTCGTACTTCAATATCAAAACAGTATACCATAAACCAACTTATTTTCACGACTGATTTATTTTCGCAATAATCTTTCGTCTTCCCTTATATAAAAACACATAAAAAATTAGAAACTATGGAAAAAATAAGTTGCTGAAAAAGGCTAGATGAGAATTAAAGCAAGGAAACAGCACGCCTAAGTAATACTTTTTTCCACTTCATTGAGGCAAGAAAAAAAGAAGAGTATGCATGCAAGGGTGAAACTATTAATCATTGGGTCCTAGTTTTTTTTTTATCTAAGTTCTTTTCAGTAATCAGAATTCATTTATGTTGGTGGATAACTATTTTAGTGGGTTGTGGAAAAATTGTATTTTCGTAGTGATTTGATTTCTTGCTTTGCCAAAATCTGCATACAAGTCTGTAGAAAATTTTAACTTTGTTGAACATTTATTTTGTTGGTTAAATCCATGAAAATTATTATCCAACTAATACTAATGAATCCAAAGTATTTCTTACACAAATCTTAATTAAGCTGTGATCTATACTTGGTTGGTATTTTATTTCCCTCCCATCAGTCAACGAATCAAATTCTGTGCAAAAAAATAAATTTTTGTGTTGACACTTTGCAATTTTTTTGTAAGATTCAAAGGGTATATTTTAATTCATTTATCATAAGGATTGATTGTTTGATTGTTGTTGCTTAACGTCGAGTGGCAAATATTTCATGCATGTTCAGGACGAGAACAAATTAACAATAAATACAATAGCTAGGTCCTGTAATAGTGGCAGTCCGGGATGAAGGTCGGGGAAATTTGGAATGCCACAGGTAAATGAGGGTATATTGGAGAGGGACAGAAATTCAGCCTTGCAACAGGCCACCTACGGACACCTCAAGTTGTTGTTGCAAGGGATCTCAACATGCAAAGAGCGTGGCACTCTCTTTATATGAGGCATCGGATTTAACGTCATAATTCTGATCAGACGTCTATCATAAGGGAGACTGGATGCTGTTCCAGTATAATCCAATTTTTTATCTTCCAGCTTAGGTGACTCAAGTGTCAATTGAGTATGTTTTTTTCTGTACTTAGAATTAAGAGTTCAGTGAATGTGTTGAATGTAAAAATTGACCAAAGGCCTTTCTATAGAAAATAGAATCATATAATAATGTTTTTTTTTTGTCATGGGTCATGGAAAACAATACCACTTGATGTGTGCAAAATTCTTCAAAGAAAGTTTGTCGGTTGTGTATGACTGCATGTAACCTTACCATCCCTATTAATAGTAACATCTTTGCTGTCTTTCCTCAGCATGGCTTGGTTATCCATGATACTGCCTAAAACATCAAAGCCTGTAGCTCCTGAGCTAGTACTGGGTGTATGGTCTATCCTGTAATAGGTTATGTAATTTGTTACATGAATTAAAAAAATTCGTAAGGGTTCCGCGGAACCCAGTGTCTCGCCTACTTTTTCTGTTAATCGCAGGCTCAACAAAAATGAGGAAGTAAATCAATAAAAATATTCCTCTTGATACTATCTTTTGATTGTAAGAAGTTTCTGTCCAAGTTTGGTAAAAATCCAGGATAGTTTATGAATCTAATAAATGTTTAAAAACTTTATCTGCAGACTGAATGTAATGTTAACTTGAAGAAAACAAAATTTCCTTTTAGATACTAGCATTTGATCATAAACAAGCTTCTATTAAAGTTTGGTGCAAATCCAAAATAGTATAAGAAAGTTATTAAAGTTTAAAAAACTTTAACCACAGAGTGAATGTGTTGTTTCCTGACAGGAAATCTAAGTCCATTTAAAAGTAAAATACGGAAAAAATGGATTTATTATTTTACAAAATTTCCTTCTAGATACTAGCTTTTGATCATAAACAAGCTTCTGTCCAAGTTTGGTACAAATCCAAAATAGTATAAGAAAGTTATTAAAATTTTAAAAACTTTAACCACAGAGTGAATGTGTTGTTTCCTGGCAGAAAATCTAAGTCCATTTAAAAGTAAAATACGGAAAAAATGGATTTATTATTTTACAAAATTTCCTTCTGGATACTATCTTATGATCATAAACAAGCTTCTGTCCAAGTTTGGTAGAAACCCAGGATAGTTTAAGAAAGTTATTAAAATTTTAAAAACTTTAACCACAGAGTGAATGTAATATTTCCCGGCAGAAAAACTAAGTCCATTTATAAGTAAAATACGGAAAAAATGGAATTTTATTTTTACAAAATTTACTTCTGGATACTATCTTATGATCATAAACAAGCTTCTGTCCAAGTTTGGTAGAAATCCAAGGTAGTTTAAGAAAGTTATTAAAATTTCAAAAACTTTAACCACAGAGTGAATATTTGTGGACGCCGCCGACGACGACGACGACGACGACACCGACGCCGACGGAATGTAGGATCGCTATGTCTCGCTTTTTCGACAAAAGTCGAAGGCTCGACAAAAACCAGACTTAGGGTATAAGTTGATGAGACATGCAACCCAAAAACATAAGTTAAAATACACATTTTTGAAGAGCTGTTTTTTTTTTAAATCTCTTTTTGGTTTACATACTTAAGTGCCCATGTCGATATACGCCTTCATTTTGTTGAATGCTAACATACTGCTGACTTTTTTAGGTACACAACCATGCCAGGATACCCAAGCAGCTTTCATGAAAACCAAAACATCAATTCAAGCATTTGCTTTGCAATACCTTTAAAGTACATTATCAAAATCTTATCATTCTTCAAATTATAGGTTTCAGAGAGATCAAAAGCAACATAATAATAGCAAAAAGTAAGTATGAAAGTTGGTAATATCAATTATATCCACTTTAATAACGTTAATAGTACCAATTTTACTGCAGCAGATGCACAATTAATGTCTCTTGTGAAGCTGGAGGCAAAAATATTCAAAAATTAATAACCAACAAGAAATATTGAAGAGAAGATAAAACCTGAAAGGACTGAGATTATGTTTTTTTCTACACATCCTCAAGTAATGTGCCAGAACTGTAAAAGTTTCATTAATATCTATTCACTGAGTTGGGAGGAGGTGTTCTTACAAGGCACATGGATACAGAAAACAGACATACAGGCAGGATGATCACTATGTAAATATATAGCTTACTTAATGACTGGTTTCCCAACTGGTTTGTGTGAAAACAATGATAAAGTAGAATATCTGGACTTTTTGGTAGGTTTTGCTGCAGATGTACTTGGATGGACATCAGGTTCACTGGAAAAGAAAACACAATTTTTACACAACTAGCATATTTTTTGTAAATTTTCCACACTTGTTCAATCCCAATATTTCTCTCTTAAATTGTAGGAATGTTGAACACAAATTTTTCTTTTCTTCTATGTCAAATTACAGTATTTGAAGTATTATGATTAACAAGAGCACACACACCGAAATGTCTCACCTGTTTTACTTATTGAATTCATGTTGATAGTCTTAAATCTGAATTTTTTTCAAGTATCACATAAACTTTAGATTAACAATTTTCTATGAAAATAGGGTCATGGTCAGATGAACCCTCCCAGACAGACATGTACACCTTACACTCATTCTATACACTATATATAGTGGTCCTATTGCTAATAGTACATGAGAAAAGGATCAAATCACAAAATCTTTACACTGACCAATGAACCATGAAAAATGAGGTCAAGGTCAACTGAATCCTGCTAGACAGACATGACACCTTACAACCATTCCATAATCCAAATATAGTTGGCCTATTGCTTATAGTATCTGATAAACTGACAAAATTAAGAAAACTTATCATTGACCAATGAGCCATGACAATAAGGTCAAGGTCGTATGAACCCTACAAATCATTTCATACACCAAATATAGTGGCCCTATTGCTTATAGTATCTGAGAAATCCACAAAAACAAAACATTGTCCAATGAACCTTGAAGTTGAGATCAAGATCAGATGAAAACGGTCAGTCGGACATGTACACCTTACAATCATTCCATACAAAAAATATAGTTGACCTATTGCTTATGGTATCTGAGATACGGACTTGATCATATAACTTCAACCTTGATCACTGATCCATGGAATAAGGTGGAGGTCAGATGAACTCCACCTGATGGACATGCAGACGTTGCAAGGAACTCATATACCAAATATAGTTACTATTACTCATAATAAGTGAGCATTTCACTTTTCCAAAAAACTGTAATTGTTTGTCAAGCATTCACTGGACCATGAAAATGAGGTCAAGGAAAATGGACATATTTCAGTTGGAAACTTCGTAACATAAGGTATCTGCACACAAGGTTTGAAGCATCCAGGTCTTTTACCTTCTAAAATATAAAGCTTTAAACAAATAGTTTACGCTGTTGCCGCCGTCAGATTGTATTACCTATGTCTCGCATACTTTCGTCGCAGGCGAGACAAAAAACCAACATTGTGAATTACATAGGATGAGATGTGTGAACAGGCACAAAGTTTTGCACACCCCTATTGTAGACTTGTAGAAAACAAAAAAAATACCTGAACTGTAAGAGTATTGAGCAATGTAATTCTTCTGATAAGATTTTCAATTTTTTGTTTACTCCACAATATTTTCCTTCTACAACATTTTGTTTAATTTCATATCTTATAATACATTTCCATATTTGAAAGTTAGGTCAGTTTGTGAAACCGAGGGCTGCCAAAATGTATGAACATGATGAAAGAGATTAGTACAAATACTCAATAAATTAAGCTAATTGAAAGGTCCAAGAAACTGCAGAGTATGAAAATCAAGTTGGAAAATTCACTTTTCATAACTTTCAAGAAAATTGCAATTTAATTTACTGTCTGATCTACAAGTCGCTATTTTGTAATCATATTAGACTGATTCTTACTCAGTGAATCCAATTAATTCATTTCGATCACCCATGATAGATAATGCTGAAATGCCAACATTGCTTTTCATCAAATCTACAGTCCTTTCTCCTGGTGCCTTCTGTAATGGAATTGTAGTACCAGTTGGTGGTTTTGAAAGCCCTAAATTTTTAGCAATTCTTGATTTGAATGATGTAGTAGGTATAACTTCTTTCCTGACTTCCCTATTCACCATTTTACCCTGAAAGAAAATTGTCAAAATTATAAATCTACAGTGAATTCTGTTGATATGGATCCCTATAGGTACTGAAAATTTTGTTGGAAAAAAACAGATGCTTGCACAGGTCATTTTTACAAAGATCATTCTTTGATGTGCATGCTTTAGTACACAAGTTCACTATTGACTATAGACATTTTCTTGCCTCAAGTGTTAGAGGTCATGGGTTCGAGTAAAAAACATATCAGATGTTCAGTTTTTGCTACAAATCAAAACTTTCTATTTGATGAAGATTATATATCTTTAAGCATTAAGCTTTGATTAATCAAAAAGTACTACCAACAAGTTAGACAGCAATATTATTCAAGAGAAGTAGATTTAAAATATATTTCCAGAACCAGCAAAGATGTTTGACCATACATTATAAATAAAAGATGCCCTAGCCTATCTGTAACAAGGATTTTATTGAAAACCAGTCTTTGTTGGAAGCTAATTATCAAAATAAGAATGAATTCTACATGCTCTATTATAACTTTTGGTTTTCAGCAAATAGAAACTAATCATAATTATTTTTGTAAACTTTTATCTGCATTTCATCTTTTAATAATAGTACATATAATTTTTGGATTTTCATATCAATATCTACCACAAAATGTAGTAACTGGCCTTATATAACCATGGCAGCTTACATTTATCATATTGAAACATTCTGTTAGTTCAACCATGATATATGCAACCTGTTACTATAAATCATTATGGCCTGCCATCATGACAAATGGTGGAAAGGATTAAAGTGCCATGGTAAAATACTGTAATCAGACTATTTGTGCTGAGTCCCAGGGATGGGCACGATTACTGACAAATGTAATCGATTAATAATCGATTACATGAAGGATTTTTGTGTAATCGATTAATAATCTATTACTCTGATTTTTGTATGTAATCGATTGCAATCGATTACTTTATCAAAAGAAATTACATTACTTTTCGATTACTGTCAATTACATTTTACAAAATTACAAAAAAAATAATAAAGTAAGTTAAACACAATTATGTTGCTCAACGTTTGTATAGTGGAAATTTAGAACTTTACCAAAAACAGCATTTAGAGCATTGTTTTCAAATTTTAAGTTGACATTTGTTTTCTAGATGGAATCTCTTACTGAGGATCAGAAATATTCAAACATTCTTGAAATTTTGGCTTTCAACATGAACGAGAGATGACATCGCATTGCATCAATCACTTATTTATATTGCAAGTTTGTTTTCAAAAATTTTTGCTTTCATACTGACTTAGAGTAGCTTTTTTGTTTTTACTCATTAAAAACAGGTATATTTTTATTTAACATAGTTAATTGCAATATTGGAAGTTTTCCTCTGAAAAAAAGTAGAATAATTAATTAGTTCAGCTAATTCAAAGATCAAAATTTATAATTATAATGACATGCATGAATTAATCCTTTTGTTTGGATAACCACCCTAATTACAGGTCATAAAACTGCCAATGGAGTACAATTTATAACCTGGGGCAAAATAATGTAAATCTCCCTCTTAATTAGACATAATTGAAATGAAAACAAAGTCTACATCTTATTTATTAGAAGTCTTTTATCTTCTGATTAGTAAAGACAAGAATTTTGTTTAGATTTTTTTATTCTCTAATCAAATTATAAACAATATATATTTATAGTGTCAAAATGGGATACATGTATCTATTTCTCCAAAAGAATTTCAGTGCATAGCCAATATTTCATTGTCGAAAGGATTTTGTGTACTTTCTTAATTTTTATATCATAACATTATAAGGAATCAACTGATTATCTATTCTAATCTAAAATTCCAACTCTTATTTAAAATTATGCTTTAAAGAATTTTAATACAAATAAGCTTACTACTTTAATGTAGTACAGTACTTAACTTAAGACTCATTTCTTATTTTATAAGGTCTTGAATTATTGACAAGCACATAAATCCATTTATTTTTCAAAAGCTAGATATAAAGTAAAATTTGGTAGGGATCTGGTTGATCATAATGCAGCTTGAGACAATAGATAGATATAAAGCAGTTGATAAACTCTTAAGTCATATTAATACATTCTGTTTTATCTGTACTTTAAAGTGATGAATACATACATACTTTCATTTAGAATAGGTTATATTTCATCAAACTATTTTACTAAAGTAATCGAAATGTAATCGAATATTAATCGATGATTTCATCACAATTTTTGCTGTAATCGATTAAATTATGATTACATGTAATCGAAAATGTCTTCGATTACAGATTACTGTCGATTACTGGAAAAAATGTAATCAATTACAATCGATTACGATTACAGATTACGATTACCCCATCCCTGGTGCTGACTTTTATACACGCTTAGCTCTTCCTTAACTAATGTTGCAATTTATTTTCAAAACTTCTGTATTTTGTTGATGTGGTCTTCTAGGGGATGATTTAATTTTGTTATATTTACAAAGATTAAAAAATAAAGAAAATAAGTTGGTTAACATAAGCGTAAAAAATCCTAAACCACTCATTTTAGTATGACTCAATTCTGTGTATGTACTTCTTAAATCTCGAATCACAAATTATATATTTTTAATCTTTATCAAAATATCACAATTCTATGTTCATGATGTAATGTTTCTACTCACAAGTTTCAAATATAAATCAGTCATGAAAATAAATAAAATTAGTTGGTTTACGGAAGTGTAACAATCCTGAAACACCCATGTTAGTACCCATCTCGGAAACCAAAAACTCTTCATAATATTTGAATAATAATATTACCACTAGTTTCTTAATAATCTGTTTCCTTTTACTTGTCTTTTTAGTGGTTTTCCTTCTTTTTCTTCTCTTCTTTCCTTTTCTTTTTGTAGTCTTTTTCTTCACTTTGGTTGTTTTTGCCTTTTTTCTGACCACTTTTTTCTTCCTTTTGACTGGTGATTTTCTAGGTACAGATGCACTAGCAGTAGCCTGAAATGGACATTTCATAATTCATATGTTTATGATCGTGTCTGATTAAAAATTGGGAGTCATCACACCATTTAAACATTTCAGAGATACCAAAAATATATTACAATGTAAACAGTTTCAACAATTTGCTCCCTCATCTTCTAATACTTAGAATTCAAAAACTTCCAACCAACCAAATTTACATTAAAGCTATTCCTGACAACTCTTGTTTTGTCACTTCTAAAATACTGTGAATTCATTTATTTTAGTGGGTACCAATTACATGGATTGAGGAGAAGTTGTATTTTCAGGAATACCCGATTTCAAGGTTTTGACAAATTCTCCATAATTTGCATTTTGTTGGACACTTGAATTCATGGTTTACCGAGGCCACTCAATCTCCCAAATGTGTACAATATTATTTTTGCAAAGAATTCCGCTCAGAAGCTAGGTGGCCGTCTTAAACTTGCAGTGAGGTGAGATTTTTTTTTTTTTGCTTCCTGTTGAAGGCCTTACTGTGACTTTGAGATGAAAAACAGCAATAAAATGCTGTTCCTTTGCTTTTTGTGTGATTTTTTGCTGTGCATGTACCGATTTTGTGTCTTGGATGGATACCCCATAACCTTTGTTTTTCTATCATATGAGTAAATATCAATAAAAATCAAAACCCTGACCACATGCACACCTTCAATATATATACAAACAGTCAGCCTAGTGAAAACTTCATAGCATTCAAACTGTAGGAGGAGTTATCCGGAAATGCTATGCACCTCTTATGCAAGTATATACTCCAAAAAATGATAAAGTTCAAATATCTCCCAAAAGAGCAAATATTAATAATAAACTGTTAACACAGAGATATGTCTCGCCTATTTGTTATTTTGATAATGCAAATGTTGAAATTAAAATGGCAATACTTTAACATGTAAGTTTTGCAAATATTCAAAGTCAATGAACCATGACTGTAGGTACAGGGCTAAACAATCTCCATGGAAATGAGATGTGCCAATGCTAATACAACTGCAAACCAAATACCATTGACTTTTCATAAGTCGTTCCCTTTAAACAAACCTAAACACAAACATTAACTTGTAAACTATGTAAAAGTTTCAAAGTTAATGAACAATAATTAGGGGGTGGGGTTATATAATCTCCATGGAAATGAAACTTGCAAATGACAATACATTTGCATACCGAATATCATTGACTTAACATTAGTGGTTCATCTTAAACTGACCTAATCACAAACTAATACATGTAAACTAAGTAAAAGTTTCTGTCAATAGACCCTGACTGAGAGGTAAGGACCAAATATTATCCATGGAAATGAGATGTGCTAATGCTTATACAACTGCATACCAATTATCATTGACCTACCACTAATGGTTTCCCTTAAACTGACCTAATCACAAACTAATACATGAAAACTAAGCAAAAGTTTCAAATTCAATAGACCATAAAATGAGGGGGCATGGCAAATAATCTCCATGGAAATGAGATATGCCAATACTTATACAACTGCACACCAAATATCATTGACCTACCACTAGTGGTTCCCCATAAACTGACCTAATCACAAACTAATACATGTAAACTAAGCAAAGTTTCAAAGTCATTAGACCTCGACTGAGGGGACGGGGCCAAATAATCTCCATGGTAATGAGATGTGCCAATGCTAATACAACTGCATACCAGGGCTTCCAAAATTATTTTTAGCCAGCCGGACATTTTATATATTATCCCGATTTTAATCCCTTAAGACTAAATAAACAAAAGGCAATTATGGTAATCAGTTGCCGAGTTGGCCATCCCAATGATTGATATTTAAAAAAAAAACATATTATTCTTTCTTTGTTCAAATTCGAAGTTCTGACGTAAACTGTTCAATTGGCAGTGCATCATCCTAAGTGTGCAACATCAGCGTACTTATATCTGCCTTAGACTCTTTATTTGTGCAAAATCATGTTGTCAAAAACTTTACTTTCGTTTTTAAATCTGAAACCGGATGTTATCTTGACAATGGTAAAACATGGACCAGAGACGGATACGTAAATTCCGTGTACGTTTGCAAAGCATGAATGAGTGTAAGTAGCTCATTCTACATTATTTCTTCAAGAAAATATTCGAAATAAACGTGAGATAAAGGTATCAATGACAATTTAAGCATTTTTTTAAGACATTAGGATGCATAATTAAATTTCACACCTGTGCACATTCACATGCGCACACGTGTACAAGTTCAAACAGAGACATGTCTCTGGTTCAAACAACGTGGTTATGACGATTTTTCATTTTCACCTCTTTAATTTTTTCATCAAATCTTATTTGTTAATGTATTTCTGATAATTTAAATCTTATTGACTAAATTAATTAGATGCAAACCGGTGAAATGTAAGAAAATAACTTTGAATAGACCGATCAATGTCCGGTTCAAAATAGTTTACCTGTCACCTGAACAGGTAAATTTCAGCTGTTCGACAACTAATTAGCCTTGATTAAAATGAGAAGGTATTAAAGTAGGGGTTGTTTTGATAGTACTTAATGATCATGTCACTTTTATGACCGGAAATGTGTGGCTGTTAAAGGCAAACGGTTGGGTCAAAAAGATCGCGAATTATGTTAAAATGACCGTCTCTTAAGAAAGCCTTGAAATCTAAAAAGTAGATGACCGTTTCGTGCTTTGCCCAGCCGGACTTTTACCGGACATTATACAAATGTACGGAATATATGACCGTTTTGGAAGCCTTGCTGCATACCAAATATCATTGACCTACCACTAGTGGTTCACCATGAACTAGACCTAATCACAAACTAATACATTGTTGACGCTGCCGCTGCCGCCAGAAACAGCATACCTATGTCTCGCTTTTTGACTCTGTCAAGGCGAGACAAAAATCAAACCCCTGACCACATGCACACCTTCAATATATGTACAAACAGCCAGCAAAGTGAAAACTTAATAGCATTCAAACTGTAGGAGGAGTAACTGGAATAACTATATACCCATAATGGGACGGACGGATGGACAGACAGAATGACGGACGGACAGGGGGGAAAACAATATGCCTCCCAACTTTTAGTTGCAGAGGCATAAAACTAGAGGCTCCCAAGAGCTTGTGTCACTCAACTGTATCCACTGTTGTTTTCAAAATCATGTAAAGTAAGGTTAAAATCATAATTAATGATATTAGATACCCTATAAATGATTGAGGCCAAGTTTGGTTTAATTTGGCCCAGTAGTTAAATTAAAAGCAGGTCATCCCATTGTAGTCTTACAATAGTTACTGAAGACCCTTTATTATTATTCAAATTAGTTTTCAAGTTGGGACCATTTGAAATTGTTTTTTTTACAATTTTCCCTTAGACTTCTATAGTAAACCCCTATGTTCTATGTTTAGCCATGGCGGCCATGTTGGTTGGACAACAGGGTCATTGGATACAATTTTCAATCAAGTTAACCTATTGAAAATTGTGGCTAAGATTTTTGTTACAGATTATAAATAAAAATGACTATAAAGGGCAATAACTCCTTAAGGGATCAATTGACAATTTTGGTTATATTGACTTATTTGTAGATCGTACTTTGTTGAACATTATTGCTGTTTACAGTTTATCTCTATCTATAATAATATTTAAGATAATAACCAAAAAACTGCAAAATTTCCTTAAATTTACCAATTCAGGGGCAGCACCCAACAACGGGTTGTCTGATTCGTCTGAAAACTAAAACATTGTTAGAATCAGCATATCGAAGAACCCCAAGAATTCAATTTTTGATTAAATTAAACAAATTTTTAATTTAGGATCCGTTGGACCTCAATGTGGTATTATCTAATTAATAATGAAAATAAATACAGGTTTAGATTCAGCATTTCAAAGAACCCTATATACATGTATATTTAATAAGTTTAATTTTGGACCCCGATTTGGACCAACTTGAAAACTGGGCCCAAAATCAGAAATCTTTATTAATAGACAATATAAGCTTAGTTTTTAAAGGAGTTCACTTCACCAAAAAAAATATATATATATAGCATTCAGAAAATTAGTTTATACAGAAAAACAAACAAACCTACAACAAAATTCTTCAAACAATTTACCAAAGCCCGCACGCCATACATCCCCAAATCAATAACCGATTTTTCCTACGAAAATCCGGTTAAAAATCTATTGTTTATCCCTCCAAAATGGAGGTCATTGGAAACAACTTAAATTTGAATTGTACATCATTTGAAACCTATCTATACCTGACTACTACTCTCTTCCATTCTGTCAGTGTCCTCCTCCTCATCTGACGATATAATAGCCCTCTGTCTTGATGATCTTGCAGTACGATCAGCTCTCTGTAATCTGATTTCAATTATCTGCTCCCGTACTCTTTCTGAAGCTCTGGTTCTTGCAATCTGTCTTCTTTGAGGACGCAGAGGTGGAAGATTATCTGTATTTTCAGAAATCAGCTCTGCTATTTCTTCATCATCATTTACAGTTATTGCTTCTAAAAATATATCATTAATGTTTTACTGATAGTTCAATTTTTCAGGAATATTTTAAGACAATTAGCTTTACATCTTAAGCATATATCTTATTCATCAAGATATCAAACAAATCCATATCAAGCAAAACAAAATATAATGGAAAGTATTTATAAACAAGATAGAGCTTTATGTATACATTATCCCCCATTTACGTCTATATAAAAATAAGGAGATGAGGTATGATTGCCAATGAGACAACTATCAGATTATGAAAATTCAAAAGATTTAACTTTAAGTGTCAAATATAATACATTTGTATGTAGAAATTTTGGGAGTGTGAACCTTTACCTTGTATAAAGTCATATTCAGAGGTGAAATTTGCAATTTCATTTCATTTTTAGGGGGTTTGTTGCTTTGGTTTGGTAAAATTTTATTTACCAAACTGATAGCATTGTAATGATTATATATATCACGTTTACTGGATACATATCAAACTTAGTAATACATGTACAAGGCTTATTACAAGATCTTTACAAGTAAATATGCTTCTTAACTTACAAACGTAACACATTGATCGGTTGATGAGAATATCAGAATTTAGAGGGATTTCATGTCAATAGCATGTTAATGTTATGAGAAGGTACACTACTTTGTACTTGGCTGACATGCTGAGTAATTTTTATAATGCCAAATGACAAGGTACTTGTTGCTAAGATGACATGTAGCCCTCCTGACTGTGTGCTGACCAGTCTTTGCTCTTAAATGCTACATGATAAGTAGGAAAAGCAGCACCAACCCATTTATAAGTCTGATTTGAGCCTAATAAGCATCAATGTTATGATGTCCCCAATTAAAGGCAAGCACCCTACCCCACCACCATCAAGGCAGTTATGTGCTGAAGTTTCATAATTATTTGTCAGTATTAATTATTGTGTTTTACGACGAGATATCAATTTCATATAAGTTTATATGCAGAATGTCTTATAACCATGACAGGGCTTCTGTGGCAGTGTGGTCCAAGTAGTGTACTGTATCACTAGCCTGTCAAAACTGAAATTGTGAGTTCGAACCCTGCACATGGCTGGTGGGTTCGACTCCAATCTTAACTGACTATAACCGCCAGTTTTTCTGCCAAAGGTTTGTGGTTCTCTCCGACTTCCTCTACCAATTAATACCGGCCTCACGATATAGCCAATAGTGCTGAAAGTGGCGTTAGACTCCAACAATCAATCAATCATTGAAATCAATCAATTAAAACCATGAAATTAAGTATGTAAGAAGATTACTATTTTACCTTCATCCATGAAAATTAGCCCCAACAAAAACAAATATTTCTATAGTATGTTAAAAATATCTAAAAACTTCATGTCTTAACATTCTGAAAATTTATATTTTCTATGATTAACACATCAAGGTATTCTGCCCTTCTATTTCAAGTCCACATCAACCAAAATTGTCAACATCAGAGAATTTTATACCAATGTAGAAGAAAAGCAGAAAGAAATTTGAATGACAGGCAGACGACAGGCTTCTGACAGTTAAAACATGTTTAAGGTCCACACCAAAGCATTTGCAGGTATCAAGTATTGGGAGTAATTATTCAATAAAAAGTCATTCATAGCACATTTTCTTTATTTGATGCTGTTGTAATATTAAAGGCACATTCAAATGATTGATCTGCTGACCAGGTAATGCACTTTTCTTTGTACCAATGCTTTATTTTAATATGCAAGAAAATGAGAAAGGGAAATAATAACAACAAGACCACACCCATTTTTTACTGAACAAACTTCAAATATATGACAAAGAAATTCAAACCAGCTTAATAATCTTTTAAGTAGATGTAGATAATCTTTTATATACATCATGTTCATGTAGTCAATTTTGTGCCATGAAAATATTTTTAATTCTAAAAATTAAAAATTAAAATAAAATTGAAATTATTGAAAATTTCATTTTAGAACAATATTATAATATATAAATAATTTGGGGAAGTCAAAATGCATGCAAAAATTAAGAAACTGAAAACAAGTCAAAACTTACCAAACATAATAAATTCTTTTGGATCTACTCTTTTGTACACTTAAAAGGTATTTATATGAGGTATAGATATATAATCAAATATAATAGCAAACTATATCTAAATGATTGTTAATGCTAATTTTGATGCCAGAATTTTTTTTTTGCATCAAAATGAAGCAAATTTTTGGAGAAAGAATTGATACAGCCATGATTGACTTAACATGAGGGTACCCAAATTGCACCTATTTTGACATTTTTTTTCCAACAACATTTATTAAGGATCCTGAAAAAAGTTTCCATTCAGTGTTTATTTTGTACATGTTGTAGATGTATCATTACTTAATACATAGTTTAACAAATTTAATTTTAATCCATACTGAATCATAGAAAAATGTTTGAACTGACCTCCAAAAAAACAAGAATCTGTAATGAAGAGTACCTACATGTAAATTGCATCCATGATTAGATAAACATCCATAAAAAATCAAGTAACTGATGTTTTATTTCTCAAAATATTAAGAAAAAATTGACATTAGTTCATGCTTACTATTCACTTTGTAAAAAATGGATGCCTGTGACAAATTATATTTGCTCATTTTTAAAAATTGACTTTTTGTAGAAGTTACATAAAGACATTTGTGTATATTTTACATTTTCACTGAATACTTTATCTGTTGATATATAATGTGTCAGTTGGGTGTATATTTAAATATGTATTTAGCTATGTTAAAAAAATGCATAATGTCTCTAATAAAAACTTGCTTTTTTTCCAAAATGGATGCAATTTGGGGTACTGTGATGTTATATATATTTAACAAACAAAAAGAAGAATGGAGATGTGGTCACGCTATCAAATCAACAACACTTGTAACTCAAAGTATTTCTAATCAGAAAGTAGGTGTCAGAAAATTTAAAGATCATTCACTATATTGAAAAATTCAAAGTAATGGCAAACCTGTAGTAGGTCAGTCTGTCAGACAGATCTGAAAGTGTTTTGACATTTAATCCATCACTATTTGCATATACAAAAAGTCACAAAAAACCTCAAAATGGATGTATGAACTTTTTTTCTAGAATTCTAGTATTTGCAAAGAACTGAAAACATGTCTGACAGCATTTATCTTCCCATTCTCTTGAAACCAAATTTGTACGTTCCTCAGAAAGCTCTAAAGCACTTTTTAAAGATAATTATTCATATTTCCCATCCCTCCTGAAAAAAAAGTCACAAAATGAAAAACAACCCACATGTTATTATGTTATATGTGATTATTTTTCATACCTGTTTCAGTTTGAGTACAGTCTGGACAAAACCATTCTTCTACTGGTATTTCTTGAAGGGAAGGGTTTAGACATTCACAATGGTACCTACAACATACAGCCATATCATTTAGTTTTAAATATAAAAATAATAGGAATTTCTTACATGTCTTACAGAATTTAAGTCAAGTCCTTTTTAATGGGCAACCTGGCATCCTTGCAAATTATCTAATGGCGTTGTGAACTCACCTTTTAACTTTTGAACTCATTTTGAAGTTTATAAAGTTAAGTACAATGTATCAAACAACTACAGAATGTGGCAGGGTTAAACATGTTTGCTGCCACCCCCCTTAATGTTTTGGTTTTTTGTGACACTGTTTCATTGATGTTCACCCTAATCTCGAGCTCTTATTCATAAATATAGATACCCAGTAAACAAAACCACCAACAATTTTACATTATTTTGCCTTTGAAAAATATATACCCTTGATCACAACCATCACAGAGCAGCAGACGGTCTTCTCTATCACATCGACCACAAATCTCACAATATGTAGGGTCTTCATCTTCCTCATCATCAATCTTCTTATCTTTTACTGGAATCTGAAAATAAATGATCACAAAAAATAATGTAGTATTGCCAATGAGACAAATATCTACCAGAGAACAAAGGGGTTTTACTGGAATCTGAAAATAAATGATCATAAATAAAATGCTCCGCTGGGTGCAGCTTGATACGACCGCAGAGGTCGAAATCCTGAACAGTTGGGGCAAGTATGGACACAACATTCAAGCTTGATACAGAACCGAATTTGGATTGTGATTAAATTTTTGACACAGCATAGGTTTCTGACACAGAATGAATGTGGTCTAAGAACTTAAATTTTTTTAATTTACCCATTTCAAACCATATCATTATTATTTGCTTTTATATATAAATCAGAAATAACCAATTTAAAATTGAAAATTTTAAAGAAAAAAAAAGGAAAAAAAAATCCCCCCCCCCCAATTTTTGAACCCCCTTATGATTCATCACCCCCAAACTCAATCCCAGCCTTCCCTTTGTGGTATGGTACCTTGCAGTACAATTTCAGAGAGATCCACACACTTGAACACAAGTTATTGTCTGAAAACTAGAAAAATGCTTGTTTTTTGGCCCCTTTTTGGCCCAAAATTCCTAAACGCTAAGGGCAATTAGCCCCTAACTCAAACCCAGCTTTCCCTTTGTGATATGGAACCTTGTAGTACAATTTCATAAAGATCCATACACTTACACACAAGTTATTGTCCTGAAACTAAAAAAATGCTTGTCTTTTTGCCCTTTTTTTGCCCCTAATTCCTAAAATTTTATGGCAATTACCCCCAAAATCAATCCCAGCCTTCCCTTTGTGGTATGGTACCTTGCAGGACAATTTCAGAGAGATCCATACACTTGAACACAAGTTATTGTCTGGAAATTAGAAAAATGCTTATTTTTGGCCCCTTTTTGGCCCCTTATTCCTAAACGTTTTGGGCAATTACACACAAACTAAATTCCAGCTTTCCCTTTGTGGTATGGTACCTTGCAGTACAATTTCAGAGAGATCCATACACTTGAACACAAGTTATTGTCTGGAAACTAGAAAAATACTTGTTTTTTGCCCCTTTTTTTGCCCCTAATTCCTAAAATTTGGAAGCAATTACCCCCAAAATCAATCCCAGCATTCCCTTTGTGATATGGAAACTTGTGGTATAATGTCAGAGAGATCCATACACTAACACATAAGTTATGTCTGGAAGTTACAAAAATGCTTATTTTTGGCCCCTTATTCCTTAACTGTTGTTACCATAACCCCCAAAATCAATCCCAACCTTCCTTTTGTGGTATTGAACCTTATGGTAAAATTTCATAGATATCCATTCACTTAAACTAAAGTTAGAGTGTGAAAACCAATGTGTCTTCGGACGACGACGATGACAACGACGCCAACGTCATACCAATATACGACCACAAAATTTTTTAGCGGTCAAACAAAAATAATGTAGTATTGCCAATGAGATAAATATCTACCAGAGAACATTGGACAATGATGTCAACAACTATAGGACACTGTTTGGCCTTCAATGAGCAAAATCCATACTGTATAGTAAGATTTACTTGTTATCTAGGATTGTTCCTTTTGGTAAAAATATTTTCATATAAATACACAACATTTTGCAAAACTGTAATTGTGAAGCCCTTTTGCCTACTCTAAAATATCTATTTTCTTGTCTATGATTTTTTTTTAATTAACAATTCTTGAATTATAAATTATATTCAAGACTTTTAAGGTAGTGTTACTGAATATACCTACAAGTGTGCAATGTCAAAATTAATGAAACTAGAGTATAATGATAGGAGACCCCGCCCTGTCACACGCAAATAAGTAAATTGTGATGGAATTTTAGAAGTAATCAAGGTTATTCCATTTGAACATAGCTTATAAAAGGCAGACATTTGGCTGATACAAAACTAATACTAGTGATATTCGACTTTTACATACAATTTTGTTAGTATGTTCAACATGGATTATGATAGGGTAATTACTTCCTTGTACATGACACACCTTCAAACAGTGGTGAAACCATGCCTAGTTCCATTACTGAACTCAAAAGGCTTTTAATTTGTGACACACCTTCTAACAATGGTGAAACCATGCATAGTTCCATTAGTGAACTCAAAAGGCTTTTAATTTGTGACACACCTTCTAACAGTGGTGAAACCATGCCTAGTTCCATTTCTGAACTCAAAAGGCTTTTAAATTATGACACACCTAACAGTGGTGAAACCATGCCTAGTTCCATTACTGAACTCAAAAGACTTTTAATTTGTGACACACCTTCTAACAGTGGTGAAACCATGCCTAGTTCCATTACTGAACTCAAAAGACTTTTAATTTGTGACACACCTTCTAACAGTGGTGAAACCATGCCTAGTTCCATTACTGAACTCAAAAAGCTTTTAATTTGTGACACACCTTCTAACAGTGGTGAAACCATGCCTAGTTCCATTACTGAACTCAAAAGACTTTTAATTTGTGACACACCTTCTAACAGTGGTGAAACCATGCCTAGTTCCATTACTGAACTCAAAAAGCTTTTAAATCATGAGGGTGGAAATTACTTGTATACCTATGTATTTTGGTGGCTAAGTTGAACTAAGTTTTTGACCATGACTTTCAATGTACAGTTTTCTTCTGTGTATGTGACACCTTCAAGAAGTGATGAATATTCATGCCAAGTTTCATTACTGAACACTAAAGGCTAATAAACTAACAAGGCTCATAAGATTTGTTACAGACCGTCTCATGCATATCACAGGAAAAAGTACATCACTAAAGGCCTGCTGCCAATTAACTGACAGGGCTCCAATTACTTATAAACATACTTCCTTATGTAATCTTCTGACGGTGGTCAGTTGTAAGCATTCCACTAACAAATGAGTATATGTAAATGATTGTGCAGTATGTAAGAGTGTTAAAAGGCTAATTTTGATATTAGACATTACAAAGAACTTTGATCATGACACTTGTTATCTTAAATATCTTTTTAGTATCTGAATGAACTCTATAGAACTGTCGCAATTAGTTAGAGCTATTTATCTATGACCATAAAGTTGCCTCTGTAGAACACTTAAAGATTGTGATTATTTTAACATGTTTTACATTCAAAGATAGACACATTTAATGTATATTCTGGTCAGTTTTAAGGTTGTTGCTCGATGTGAAAAGTTGGTTACATGTTTGCAATATATAAATATTGTACATGAACTCTATGTTGTCTTTTTAGTTAATATTGAAGTGTAAGAACATGAACAAAGAGTCAAATCTATGTCCAGACTCAAATCTGTCTGATTTGTGAAGATGATTTTGATTTTTTTGGTGTTTTAACACCACTTTTAAGCACTGCTTTTGTGCTATTTCATGGCAGCCAGTTTTTATTGGTGGAGGAAGCCAGGGTGCCCGGAGAAAACCACCGACCTTTGATAGGAAAACTGACAATCCAATTCAATTAAGATTGGAGTCGAGTGCACCTGCACGAGCGGTGTTCGAACTCACAACCTCAGTGTTGACTGGCTAGTGATTACAGTAGTAACTACTTAGACCACTCGGCCACAGAGGCCCCTCGTGAAGATGAAAAGGTATTTCTGACTGTATATCTATAACGTTAAAACCATCTTACCTTCTCATAGACTTTATCTCCATATGCATGTTTGGCTAAAATCAAATGGAAAACCTGTCTATCCACTGGACATGTATTAACGTTCTACAATAAAAGATAATCTCCAACTTTATCATGTTTTTACTTATTCGCAAAATTAATGTTGTATGTAAACTACCATATTTTTATTGAACCATTATATGCTCAAAATAAATTTCTTCATGACAAATTAAATATTTAAAGCCCTTTGGACACCAAGAAATTTTAAAATAGCTAATCTCATATGAAAATCTTCCAAAAATCTTTTTAAATATTGAGTTTGATTGATCTGTGAATATCTGCATTTTTTTAATTCTCTTAAATTACGTTACATTTTTTATACAGTACAAGAACTTTTCTCAAGATTAACATACATTTGCCCATTCCTGTATACACTCTAAGCAAAAACAATGGTCACATGATTCAGGTGTACCAATATCCTGGTCACGGAACTTGTTCAGACAAATAGGACAGTTTTCTCCTTCCCCATCATCATCACTGGTAACCAAGGTAACATCCTGACTGTCTTCATTTTCATCTTCATCAGTCTCCCATTCTGAAATAAGGTCAAGCATTTCTATGTTAACTCAATGAGAAAATCTAAATTGATGACAGGATATTTTTTTAGCAGCTATTGAATGTAGGAAGTCCCATGTTTTGTTTTAACAAAACATGCAAAAGGTGAACTAATTTTGATCAAAAACTAAAATAGGAACTATATAATGCCTTTAAAGGACAAAGATTTGTGAAAGCATCAGAAAATTCTCTGTCTGGAAAAGTGCAAATATTATTCTTTCATATTTTGACAGTTTGGGGCCCCTAGATGAAAAGTTGTCTCCCCCAACTCTATGCAGCCTATAGCAAATGTTACAAAAACACTAAAACTTTCACCATACCTTCATCTTCTCCTAATTCTTCTTCCTCCTCATCATCATCCCCATCTTCATCACCTTCTTCATCATCATCATCGTCATCATCCTCATCTTCGCTATCCTCCTCAGAATTGTCTTCATCCTCCTCCTCCTCCTCTGCTGCCTTATCTATATCCTCTGCAGGTGGGGAGAATTCTCTCAGATCTTTGAAAGCATCCATGTTAACTTGATCTATAAATGAGAATATCTTAATATTATAAGAAGATATGGTATCACTACCAATCAATCAACCATCCACCAGATAACAAGGATGTACATTTCATATATAGGTAATTAGTTATGGGACATTTTCAAAATGGATTTATTTTTCCCTTATTTGATGCTTTTGAATATTAACTTAGGCCACTGAAAATTGAATGTGGATTTCCCCTAACACAAGAAACATTTAAAAGGGCGTGCAAGAAGGAAAACTTTTTATTACATTGTTTTTGGGGTGTACTAAAATCAATGAAGCACATGCGAATTCGCTAAACAGACATTTTTTTTTTCTTAAACCACTGACAGGAAATTCTCATAAAAAAGTTGTTTGACATTTTACATATTGATCATGTTGATCTATAAGCTATCTTAAATTAAAGAAGGATAAATGAAATTTTTTTAAAGAAATTATCTGACAATAAAATCATCATTGATATAATTCAGTGCTCCAGCTAGAAATCAAAAGGGGCAGGGTGCCAGTGGAGGGCAGGGCACTTTTTTATGAAAGGAAAAGGCACTGCTCATTTCTTTTGTCTATGTTTCTGTGTGTATCACAAGTTCACATTCTATTTTTTACTGTATATGTTGTTAAGAAAGATGCATAAGTTGTTGTTTTGATTATTTATTCTATAAAATTTGCATTAGAAAATGTAATTCATACGACATGTTGATAAAACATGTCAATACACATTCATACATCACATCACTATCAACCAATAGAGGCAAATTAACTTACTATTCTCCCCCCCCCCCCCCTTTTCCAAAAAAAACCAACATAAACTAAACATCTCATAGTTTAGCATACATGTGACAGAGTTGTCTTATTTCAAAACTTTCAACTAGACTTCGGCCCTCAAAACTTTTTTTTCATTGTTTGTGTTAAGGAATTATTTAGTAAAGCTTCATCAAGTTGATGCCATGATAGTTTAACTTCACACTACCCATTTATGTAGGATTGCAGCCTAACATCATCATAACAACTGAACTGATAAATTTCTTAATTGACAATGTATAGAACATGGATTGCTAAAAGTATGATTATCAAAAATAAATTGCAATATATTTTTTTTGGTATGTTCAAAGACAGTTAATATCCTTAAGGTAACATTCTTATATAATTTTGTATTCAATTGGTAATTTATTCCTATTTTTAATACTAGATAATATTTTAGGAGCACAAATTTGTAATAAGCTAAAACAGGGGAAGTAACTCCAAAATTAATTTCTAACACGTTTACTGTTTGCTTGTCGCTCACAAGTTGAGATGGACGGCGTTTCTGTGAAGGCATAGTTGTATTTTGATGACTTAAATTCTATTCTAAAGTCATGAAAGTCTTCATTTATACACTCTTCTTGGAGATCGAAACCCAAGCTAAAATCACTCACTGACACATTCATCAAATTTATGACAAAAAGGTACATTGTCTTAATTAAATTACCTAGTTATTAACACCTTTGAAGTCTTATCCACTGTAATTGATTGTAATGACATGATTAATCTGGGGGCAATCACCTGGTGTCATATATGTAATTTAACTTTGTGATAAGAAATCATGAAACAAAAGGCAATTTTACCAAAACGACACAAGGGTTTTTGGGAAAAAGGCGTCAGGGCAGAAGGGCGCGGATGAAGGCACCCAGGGCGCGGCGCCCTTCTATTTTGGGCTAACGAGACCACTGTAATTGTCTTAAAAAAGACTCTTGCTCTTTTTATTTCTTCTGCTGAAAAAAAGATATTGACCAGTAGGGTAAAAACAGACCCGGCCGAGTTAGGGGAAACCAAAAGTCTTTTTTGAATGGCCTTACCTCAAGAAATAATCTTTGTAAACAGGGCAATAACTTACACACACATCTAATAACAGATCATTTGTTCTCTTCATTTTTCTGTACTCATAAATCCCTTTTAATAGCTAATTCAACTCAATATCATTTTATTCTTTATTTTCAGATTGTAGAATAGGTTTTGATATTTGCTAACATTGACTTACATATCAGTACATGACAAACTTTTATACAGTACAAACACAATCATAACCACATGGATTAAGGATGTTCGCTACTCTTATTTTTTTACTTTTTTTCAGATATTCGGAATCCTCTAGTTTTATCCATGTAGTGCCAATAACAATTTTGCCCACTGACCCCTACTTTTCTTTTCATAATTTTTTTGCGTATGGTTTTATAAGTCATTTTTGAAAATTTTATAAAATCCTTGTTATTTTTTCATAGTTTTTGAAAGAAAAAAGGTGTCAATGTTAAATGTATGAAAAGTCAAGAGAAAACCATTTCCCGCCAAATTTTCAATTGATTATATCTCAAAAAAAATACAACACGGACCTATCATTTTTTTCTAATTTTTAGGTTCCCTTATTCATATTCTATCAATCTATAACAGTCATTTTAAAACTTTGTTATTTTGAAACAGAGGAGCGAACATCCTTAACATTGTATAACTGTGTCAAGTTTTAACATTTCCATAAAATACATTGTTTTTTGTATATCATGTATATAGACTTCATAAAATAAATTGTAATGTTTTATCAGGTAACATTTTGCTATAGAAAATAAACATGCAACGATTTTAGGTAGAGATTATGTTTTTAACATTTCCTTAAAGTTTTGTAATTTTGATCTTAATTTGGAAATGGAAATGAAGGGTGGTTATCTCAATGCACTTCCGTCAGTCAACTATTTTTTTTAACTTTTGAGCTAGAATTACATCTTGAAGGTAGCTCTGCTGGGGTGTCTAAATGTTCGATGATAGATTTTTCTTACAAACTGTAAAAGACTTCTGGGTCAATTTTCTTTCAAATTTTAATATAATAACTGGGGGTCACAGACCTTGTTTTTCGTTAATACACATTGAAATTAAAGAAATTGGGGTTATTATATATTGTTTATATAGGTGAAACTTAATTTTTCCTTATCGAGGAAACATTAAACGATAGAATTGGCTAAAATTTGATGAGAGATTGCTTTTCATTTATACTTTTAAGTTTCAAATAAAAATAGGGGAGTCATGGGCCTTATTTTCTTCATAAAAAAAAAAATTGTCCTATAAAATTCAGTATCACTATCTGCCCTTAATTTCAAAAGGATTTTTTCTGAAGATTTTAAATATATACTTTACAACACTTAATTTTTTAATAGTTTAATCTTTAAAAATTAAGTTTTAGGTATATTGTTGTATATTAAATAATACTAGGTAAAATATTTTAACAAGAGTGCACACGCTGAAATGTCTCGCCTACTATACTGACCATTGATTTAATGTTGATAGTCCTACATATAAAGTTTTACTACAACTTACAAGTATCACATTAACATTTATGATCCAAGAAAATGAGGTCAAGGTCAGATAAACCTAGCCAGAAATACATGTACACCTTTGATACAATCATTCCATACGCAGAATATAGATGACCTATTGCTTATAGTATAAAGAAACAGACCAAACCATGGAAATTCTATATTGACCAATGAACCATGAAAATGAAGTCAAGGTCAGATGAACCCTGCCAGACAGACATGTACACCTTTAAGTCATTCCATGCATCAAATATAGTTGACCTATTGCTAATAGTATCTAAGAAACAAAGTTAACCAGGAAAACTGAACACTGACCAATGAACCATTAAAATAAGGAGAAGGTCAGATGATACATGCCAGACAGACATATACACCTTACAATCACTCCATACACCAAATATAGTTGACTTATTGCTTAAAGTTTAAGAAAACAAGCATTCTGAGAGTATTGCATGGCAATACATAGTCCCCTACCGGTTAAAAATTAATTGTACTGGAACAAAATGCTAACTTGGGGACTAAAAAGACCAAAACACAAAAACTAAACATAAACAATGAACCATGAAAATAAGGTCAAGGTCAAATACAACCTGCCAGACTGACATCTACATTGTAAAATATTTCCATACACCAAATATAGTTGACCTTTTGCATACAGTATTAGAAAAACAAACCAAAACACAATAAATTGCTTCGCCGAACACAGCTAGATACGACCACAGAGGTCCAACCCTGAACAGTAGGGGCAAAAATGGACGCAATATTCGCGCTTGATACAGGTCTGAATTTGGATTGTAATTAAATATTTGACACATAAAAGGTTTCCGACACAGAATAACTGTAGTCAAAGAAATTAGAAATGGTTATATGATATGATTTGAATTTATATTTCATTTTTTGCTTTTATGCAATACACTTTGCTGTTGCGAATCGACCCCCCCCCCCCCCCTCCCCTCCTCCCACAAAAAAAAATAAAAAATTTATCCCCCCCTTTTTTTTTGGCTTTTCTGCAATACACTATGCTATTGTGTATTAACCCCCCCCCCCCCCCCCCCCAGATATTTTTACTGGCCTTCCTTTATAAATATGCATTTCTTTAAACATAATTTAAAAGCAGTGTAAGGGAGGTAATCAAAACGTATTTGAATTACCTCCCTTACACTGCTTTTAAATTGTCTTAATTGTTTTAATTGTTCATTAACCATTACTTTATACATAATTTAAAAGCATTGTAAGGGAAGTAATTCAAATGATGTATTTGAATTACCTCCCTTACACTGCTTTAAATTATGTTTTGTACTAAAGTATTTGTCCATTAACCAGGACACCCTTGTTTTTCCCCCTTTTTGCCCCTAATTCCTTAACAGTTTGAGCCATAACCCCCAAAGCAAATCCTAACAATCCCTTTGTTGTATGGGAAACTCGTATAATTTCAGAGAGATCCATACACCGTTCCACATGTTATTGTCTGGAAACTAGAAAAATGCTTATTTTTGGCTACTTATTCCTTAACTGTTGGTACCATAAACCCAAAATCAATCCCAACCTTCCTTATGTGGTATTGAACCTTATGGTAAAATTTCATAGAGATCCATTCACTTAAACTAAAGTTATTATCAGTCAGGGGACTTATTGAAATAAGTGATTTTTAAATCACTTATTTAAGTAGCAAATTCGAAGTTTTGTCACAAATTGTGATTTTGTAGTTTTACCAAAATTTTAAACACATAGCTTTAGATAATATCTTTTCATTAGTAAAATTGAAAAAAATGAACTTTTTGCCTCTTTTAAGCATCAAGGTTTATGCCTTTGATGCAATCTTTTAGCTGCAAATTCTATTTTACTTGAAAAAATGCTATAAAAATGGCTTTATATAATGAACTGATACTTTCTCAACAGATTTTTCCCAGCAGTGGGAGTATTTTTCCTGTAAAATTCAAGGTTTCATCTTATAGATTATGTAATAAAATTCTACTGTTCACGATCAAAATTTCACTGTTCGGGGGGGGGGTGTTGAAATTAGTGGGGGTTATTAAAATAATGATACTTAAAGAAGTGATTTTTTGGAAGGAAATTGAGGTATGATACTTGAACAAGTGATTTTTATGTCATTATCCTAGATTTAGTACAAGGTCATCACCTGACATGACCCGGTCATCCTATCAACACAGATGTTGGTTCTAATAATTTTAGCAACATAATTAGTTCCTGGATCATTAGTATTCTATATTTAAAGCTACAATAAAATTAAATCACTTAGTCTAGTGATTAATTTGTACTACTTAAATAGGTGATTATTAAAGAAAGACAACTCTTACTTCCAACCTTTAGGTACATAATGTTACTTGAATCAGTGATTTAGAAAATCACTCATTTAAGTAAGTCCCCTGACTGATTATGCGAAAACCAATGTGTCTTCGGATGACGACGCCAACGTCATACCAATATACGTTTTTGTATATAAAAGTAGTGTAGTGTGATCCTGTCACATTTTTACAGGCTTGCCATCATTACATGCAAGTGGATCACATGGGAATAAAATTTTACATTTAGAAAACTTTCCTTAAAAGACAGAAATACATGTAAGCAAGATATGACAGGACAAAATATGATCTCATGTGACATCATTCAAAGTTTAGGAATAGTTTAAAATACTAGTCAATTTATCTTCTTTTTTTTTAAATCCACAAGAAATATTATACAAATAGGTCAATTGCCCTAATGCCCCTCATTGTGAGGACCACAAATAATATATGCAAGTAAAAATTCTCCTTGCTACATGTGATAATGGACATGGTGCTAATTCTTATAAATGACTGAGCTAAACAATTTAAAAAGCAGTAGACTATACAATAAGGTGTAGAAACTTTAAAGTCATAAAATGTTTGTAAAGAACTTCATTTTCAAAATTTAACTGTGTGAAAATAGTGATTTTTTTTAGGCCTTGTAGGGTTTCCAAATATGTCAAAAATTAAATTCTATTTAGTTTCCCTGAAATTTAATCACATCTGTGAAAATGTTACAGCTTTGAAACGAGCCATGATACATTCCCATGCTTAAGACATGGACAGAGGAACGGAAGAAAAGGTGTAACCATTACAGCCTACATTTTGTACCTGAGATGAATTGCAGATATTGACCCAGATGAGCAAAATATTTATCACATTGAAATTGTTCAATGATTTAGAGTGACAAATGTATGCAGTGAGAATAATGATAAGCTATCAATGCAATTTTGCTCAAAGCTATTGACTACTGTAGAATGTAGTATTGATGCCATAATTTTGGATTATCGAATATAACTCAGTGCCACTGCATTTCAACAGATGAATAATGCCCAATTAAATTTCCGAGGATCAAATAGTTTTAAAGTACTATAAGTTATAACTATCACCACTTATTATGAATACATCTATATGCATTATCACACTTTCTGATGAGAATATACACAAATTTTATGCATGCAGCACTAAAAAATATGCAAGGAAATCAACTGAAAATGGTTAGTAAAGTAATGTTTGATAAAATTCTTTTGATAACTGTGCAAAGATATTTACAGAATTGTTTTAAATCATTGAAATCATGTGTACCTAATCTAGATTTTAGAAAATTTTGTTATCAAAGCCGCAAACTTTGCTGCGACAAGTTGGCCACCATCTTTTTACAAGGTGCCCGTATGTAGAAGCGGAAATGACGTTTTCGGCGCAAAGCTGCAACTAAAAGAAACTATAGAATTCATTCTTTTCGTGGTTATGAAGTTTTAAATTCCCTCCAATAAACTTTGTTTAACTTAAGAGACCGACATGATCTTGAATCACTTACATGGATGTGCTCTGACACAAATTAAAAAACTTATACTTTGGTCATTAGTCAGATCCATACAAAAAAATCACATGATCTAACCCAAGATAGTGAGAACCCTTTCGGCTTTCCCACCCAGTGTCAATACTATTGAATACCTTTGAAGTCATTATGGATACAGACACAAAGAAATTATTTGAGTAAGGTTATTTTAAAATACTTTTTTTTATTTTTGGTATCTCATAAAGTTGCATCCAGATATTTATTTCATTCAATACACCTTATCGCTATTCCCGGCTGACCCGAGAATCTGTCCCGCTTGAACTATTGACGTCATACAACAATCACTTTTCCATTGTGGCGTCAGATATTTTGTATTGTGACGTCAAAATTTTACGGGAACCTGTGTGATGTCCAGTAATGGCGGACAAATAGCGATAAGGTGTATAGTTATTGCATTTTACTTTCACTTTCATTTTTAATCCTCATTTGCACATGTATGCACCTTTGAATAGCAGTATTCCTTGGTGTTCTGGTGGTAGTGTGGTAAACTCAGGTGTAGAAGGTAGTGAGTTGGATCCCTGGCTGGGTCAAACCAAAGACTACGTTTAATATTGCAACTTGGTGAGCATCGCAATAATAAGAACTTGCATTCTGATATCTGATCCATATATGAGGGTAGTAATGGAGTACCCCAATGACAGTAAAATATTTGTTAAAATAACTATAACGATAAATATTTTACTCCATTTGACGCTAATGGTAGCTACAAAAATTAGATTTGACAAATGACAATTAAAAAGATTAGGCTCAGTTGACGCTAACGGTAGAGCAAAAAGGACGTTTGATGCTTGACGGTAAAGGGCATTCCTACCCTCATATATCTTAATGCACATCTCCCTAAAATCGCAATAATTAACCATGCATTTTTGTCCATTCTTCAAAAGTGTCAATAATAAATGCACGAAATAATTTCTGAATTTACAGTATTTCATCTTCGCTAGCCAAGGGTAATGATCCCATCCCTTCCCCTTGAGAGAGAGGTGAAGGGACTGGATCGTAACCCTTTATTTAAACCTGACAAGCCTGCATATATCATATTTATCCTGCAATCAACCAAGTATTATACAAATAACAGGTACACAAATAAATAAAATTGAGAATGGAAATGGGGAATGTGTCAAAGAGACAACAACCCGACCATAGAACAGACAACAGCAGAAGGTCACCAACAGGTCTTCAATGCAGCGAGAAATTCCCGCACCCGGAGGCGTCCTTCAGCTGGCCCCTAAACAAATATATATACTAGTTCAGTGATAATGAACGCCATACTAAACTCCAAATTGTACACAAGAAACTAAAATGTTTGCTTTACGTTCAGCAAAAGCGGTAATGTGGATATTTCTTTTTGCACGACAGTCCGTTTTTTGGGTCCCCTTCACGTTCAGTGATTAAACTCTGTCGATTTCTTTGAAAATTCAGAGACCATGATTTGGATTTAAAAAATTAACATGACTAAAGCTTCAAGTGCCGGATGTAAATTGCAGGATAAAAACAATATATGTATTGGAAATATAAGATCATTATTTGTATTCGCTACGAAACAGGAGAAAAGCTCAGGGAGCCTCGCTTTTCGTCCTGTTTCTAAAGCTCGTACAAATAAATTTTATATTTTCTGACAATGTCATGAATGTAGATATATTGTATATATAATTTACTTTCGTCCTGAACATGCATGAAATATTTGCCAGTGGACATTAATCGACCAACAATCGATCAATCATATATTACTTTATGATGAGTTCAAGATATCTCTGAAGTCAAACAGCTTGCTGTTCTTGGACTGGTTGGGCCATTTGAATCCTGGTCTGTTTTATCACATTTGCCCCTTTTCATGTTCGCAACCAACATGTTTACACCTGGGGTCTGTTCACACCCATTGTAAAGGTTTTGTGTTAAATGAATTTTTAATCATGTTTTAGTTAGTGTATTGCTATAATATAAAGATAAAAAAAGTATTTTCTTTAATGTTTTGAAATAAAGGGACATTCATGATTCTAAAAACAAAATTATTTTGAGGAAATGAGTAATGATTATTGTCATGTCATACTTGTCCTAACACACCTGAGATCAAAGGGGCCAAACTGTTTTAAACAATTATCTTTCATGTTTTGTATTTAAAATCTTCATTGTTTTACTCATACATGTACCAAGGTAACACATGTATTAAATTCTAATTCACACAATTAGTATTTTCAAACACATAACAATAATTATACCAAATTAGCTTTGTATTTTATACCAATTAGCAGTCATCATAAATAATTAACAATTAACATGATTGATAAATAAACCATTGTCAACTAATCACCAAAAAAACATATTCTATTAAAAAAATCTAATAATTCAGCATGTATTTGAATAAAAATAGGGTTCGAATGTGTAGGATTCAAACGTGTATGGTGTAAACGTGTATGGTGCGAATGTGTAATGGGAGCGACCATGTCTCAACCAAACCCTAAAACAGGCCTTCTGATGTCTAAGCAATCCCAGACTTCTTTGTGATGTGGTATTGTACATAATGAAAATACATTATTCATAATGCAGCATTGCATTGCTTTACTTAAATCTTAGATTGAACTCTTGTGTTGCAATTGTGTGTGATATGTATATACACTATTCCTGCTCCTACTCAAATTACCAGTACATTATATATCATTTTACTTGCAGTAAAGCAATCCTATTTTTATGCCCCACCTGCAATAGTAGATGGGCATTATGTTTTTTGGTCTGTGCGTCCATTCATTCGTACGGTCGTCTGTCCTGCTTCAGGTTAAAGTTTTTGGTCAAGGTAGTTTTTGATGAAGTTGAAGTCCAATTAACTTAAAACTTAGTACACATGTTCCCTATGATATGATCTTTCTAATTTTAATGCCAAATTAGAGTTTTGACCCCAATTTCACGGTCCACTGAACATAGAAAATGAAAGTGCAAGTGTGGCATCCGTGTACTATGGACACATTCTTGTTCTGCACTTCATCCCAGTCGAGGTACTTTTTAGATCCTACCTAAAGTTTAATTGGAACTATTTTCAATCTGCATGCAAAATTTGTAATGGGACATTAAGCAAACAACAGTTAATTATAAACTCTTTATAAGCGCTTTGGATGCATGAAATTATTTAACGTGTTATTTTCATTTGTAGTTAAACATTAAGGTTAAATATAATTATTAAAAACTTTAACTATGTACATGATGTAATCAAAGTGAATTTTTCTTACACAGCCAAATAGATGCAAATCAAGAAAAGTATATCAAGAGACTGTCAGACACAGTTGCTATCAAAAGTGTATCAGCATGGCCTGAAACTAGACCGGAAATTGTAAAGATGGTCAAGTGGACTCAAAAGGTATAAATTTTGAAGATATGGACAACACAGTTTTCATGGTTTTATTGTCGAGCCTGCGACTATTGTTGCAGAAAGCTCGACATAGGGATAGTGATCCAGCAGCAGCATTAGCTAGCTTCTTAAAAGCTTTATATTTCAGAAGGTAGAAGACCTGGATGCTTCATACTTTGTATATAGATGCCTTATGATATAAAGTTTCCATCTGTCATATGTCCATTGTCCTTGACCTCATTTTCATGGTTCAATGATTACTTGAAAAAATAGTTAAGATTTTTTGTAATGGTAATTTTTCTCTTATAATTAGTAATAGGATAACTATATTTGGTATGTGCGTACCTTCTGTCAGACAGTTTTCACTTGACCTCGACCTAATTTCATGGATCAGTGAACAAGGTTAAGTTTTCGTGGTAAAATCCATATCTCAGATACTATAAGCAATAGGTCTACTCTATTTGGTGTATGTAATGATTGTAAGGTGTACATGTCCAACTGGCAGGTGTCATTCCACCTTGACCTCATTTACATGGTTCAGTGGTAATAATTTAGTTTTTGTGTTTTGGTCTGTTTTCTAATACTGTATGCAATAGGTCAACTATATTTGGTGTAAGGAAATATTTTACGATGTACATGTATGTCTGGCAGGTTTTATTTGACCTTGACCTCATTTTCACAGTTCATTGCTCAATATTAAGATTTTGTGTTTTGGTCTGTTTTTCTAATACTGTATGCAGTAGGTCAACTATATTTGTTGTATGGAAATATTTTACAATGTACATGTCAGTCTGGCAGGTTTTATTTGACATTGACCTCATTTTCACAGTTCATTGCTCAATGTTAAGTTTTTGTGTTTTGGTCTGTTTTTTTAATATTGTATGCAGTAGGTCAACTATATTTGGTGTATGGAAATATTTTACAATGAACATGTCAGTCTGGCAGGTTTTATTTGACCTTGACCTAATTTTCACAGTTCATTGCTCAATGTTAAGTTTTTGTGTTTTGGTCTGTTTTTTGTCTCGCCTTGACGGAGTCGAAAAGCGAGACATAGGTATGCTGTTTCCGGCGTCGGTGGCGGCGGCGGCAGTGTCAATAATGTATTAGTTTGTGATTAGGTCTAGTTTAAAGTGAACCACTAGTGTTTGGTCAATGAAATTTGGTATGCAGTTGTATTAGCAGTGGCACATCTCATTTCCATGGAGATTATTTGGCCCTGCCCCCTCAGTCATGGTCTGTTGACTTTTAAACTTTTGCCTAGTTTACATGTATTAGGCCAGGTTAAGGGGAACCGTTAGTGGTAGGTCAATGATGATTGGTATGCAGTTGTATAAGCATTAGAACATGTCATTTCCATGGAGAATATTTGGTCCTTACCCCTCAGTCATGGTCTATTGACCTTGAAACTTTTGCTTAGTTTACATTTATAAGTTTGTGATTAGGTCAGTTTAAGATGAACCACTAGTGTTAAGTCAATGATATTCAGTATGCAAATGTATTGGTATTTGCAAGTTTTATTTCAATGGAGATTATATAACCCCATCCCCTAATTATGATTCATTGACTTTGAAACTTTTACATAGTTTACAAGTTAATGTTTGTGTTTAGGTATGTTTAAAGGGAACGACTTATGAAAAGTCAATGGTGTTTGGTTTGCAGTTGTATTCACATTGGTACATCTCATTTCCATTGAGATTGTTTAGCCCTGTACTTTCAGTCATGGTTCATTGACTTTGAATATTTGCATAACTTACATGTTAAAGTATTGCTATTTTAATTTTCAACATTTGCATTATCAAAATATCAAATAGGCAAGACATATCTCTGTGTTAACAGTTTATTAATTTCTCTTCATCATGTTCATGTAGGAATTAGAAACATTAGGAGCCAGTACCCAGTTAGAAGAATTGGGCGACCAGACCATGCCTGATGGATCAAAGTTACCCTTGCCTCCTGTATTACTTGCCACACTCGGTACAGATCCAAAAAAGAAGACTTTATTGGTGTATGGACATTTGGATGTGCAACCAGCACACAAGGTCTCAATTTATTTTTTTATGCCCCCGACGTAGCATAGTGGGCAATAAGTTTTACTCTCTAACTTTAGTTTGCCTCAACCAAATGTAATGAAACTTATACACAATGCTTATTACCACAAAACACAGATCAAGTTTGATTTTGGTGGCGTCACTAAAACCGTTCTAGAGTTATGCCCCTTTACAAATGGAAAAATTGCTGAATGTTTTGTTTCTGTTCTCTAACTTTAGTTTACCTTAACCAAATGTTATGAAACTTATACACAACGCTTGTAACCACAAAATACAGATCAAGTTCGAATTTTGGTGGTGTCACTTTAACTGTTCTAGAGTTATGTCCCTTTAGAAATGGAAAAATTGCTGAATTTTTCTTTTCCGTTCTCTAACTTTAGTTTGCCTTAACAGTCAGGGGACTTACTTAAATGAGTGATTTATAAAATCACTTATTTAAGTTGCAAATTCTAAATTTTGTAGTTTCACCAAAATTTTAAACATATAGGTTTAGATTATATATTTATTAGTCCCCTACCGACGAAGTTGAAGGGGACTTTAGGTTTGCACTCCGTCCGTCTGTCCGGCTGTCCGTCTGTCCATCCGACAGTCTGGCAAATCAGCTTTCCACACTTTTTTCTTCGTTCTTGAAGATATTGATTTGATACTTGGTATAAAGTTTTATCATGACAAGTTATAGATCAAGTTTGAATTTTGTTCCGGTCTGATGAATTAGTCCAGAGTTATGGACCATAACTCTGGACCATATCTAATGTTAAAGTACTATGTTAAACCATATTTCTGTACAAAGGGAGATAACTCATTTTTTAAAAGACATTCTTTGTTAAATTATTTGAAGAATTTTTTGACAGGTTTGTTTGATATTTTGTATAAACTAATTTTCTGAATACTATATATATAAAAAAAAATTATGAAGAGAAATCCTTTAATTAGATAATAATCTATTTTTATTAATGTATATATTTCAATACATTACATTGTGTAGATAAAAGTTGTTGACATTTTATAGATAAGTTACAAATCTATATTAATTTGTGACAAATGAAAGAAAAAAATATTTGGAACTATTACTGTATATGTACTTTTTTTCGTGTGTACTTATTTTCGCGCAATCGGTATTGCCGATGAATTCGCGTGTATTTAATTTCGCGGATGTGCCGTAAATATTAAAATATTAATAAAGGATTTTCTTTATTAAGTCAATAAAGTGAACAAGAGTTTCGATTTAACAAGGTAAATAGCCTTGAGGCATTAAAGTTAAAAGTGAGTAGAATTTAATTTATACCTTTGGTAATAGTTCATTCACAATTTGTCAATCAAAATGTTAAAACGTTGGTTAACTCAGGCAAAGGATCAGCCTCCTGTACAGCATTTTTACCAGATCCGCGGGATGCTGCTACACCAGAAAAGGCGGAAATGATTGTTTCGGCAAATGAAAGTGTTGACAAGGAAATTACTGCTTCCTCATCCCGAAAACGTAAAAGAGGGGAATATAATCATTATGACACTGATCAGAAAGTAAAGATGGCAAAGTACGCTTGTGAACATGGTGTAACTAAAGCTGCTAAACATTTTAGTGCAATTCAAGGAAAGCACATCAATGAATCTACCATAAGAACGATGAAAAAAGGATATTTGCTACAACAGAAGTGTCAGTCATCTGATTCCGATTCCGAGCCGTTGCTCCAAAGTGGGAAAAGAGGACAGCCAACCCTTCTTGGAAAATATGATGCCGAAGTCCAAGAATATATAAGGAACTTACGACTTGCTGGTGGGATAGTGAACCGTCCTATTTTGTTTGCTGCTGCAAGAGGGATAATAATGGCTAAAGATCGGCAGTTATTAAGTGAATTTGGAGGCTCCATTGAACTTTCTAATTCTTGGGCCCAATCCTTTCTATGCCGCATGGGATATGTTCGGAAAGGGACTAAAGCAGCGCGTAAAATTCCAGAAGATTTCGAAAAGCAGAAAGAGGAATTTCTGACTGCTATTCAAACCCAAATTAAGAAAGATCAGATACCAAGTGACCTCATAATAAATTTTGATCAGACAAATGTGTATATAATTCCGGTTGGTGATTATACGTTAGAAGTAGAAGGCAGCAAACAGGTTCCTATTACAGGTCTTGAGGACACGCGTCAGATCACTGTACTCCTTGGAGAAACTCTCGGTGGTAAATTTATTCCACCACAGGTGATTTATCAAGGACGCACAGACCAATACCACCCAACGTTTAAATTTCCAAAAAAGTGGAACATACTCATTCTGAAAACCATTGGTCAAATGAAACAACAATGAATGAATATGCGGAGAAAGTGTTAATACTGTATATAGAATCTATACGAGGCAAACTTCCACTGGTGAAGGCTAGGCAACCTGCTTTGTGCATTTTTGATGTTTTTCGTGCTCATCGCGTAGACTCATTTATGGATAAACTAAATGAGAACAATATACGCACACGTTTTGTGCCAGCGTCTTGTACAAGTGAACTCCAGCTACTCGACCTTTCAGGCAACGACGAGTTTAAACAGTTAGTAAGATCTAAAGGATGGTATTCAGACCAAATTATGATCGGACTGAAAGAAGGCAAAAAAGTTGATGCAATTAAAGTTGATCTTAAACTTTCTACTTTGAAACCGCTGCATGCCGGATGGCTGGTTCATGCATTCCAAAACGTAAAAGAAGAAACTCTGAAAAGAGGATGGGTTAAAACTGGGATTTCCGATGTATGTGTGCATAGATAAACTATGACATTTGAAAACCTTATTATCAGCCAATACATACTTGTGTTTAAAAAACTTTGTAAATATGTTTATTAAATATTTAAATTTTCATTAATTAAGTCTTAATTTGTTAAACAAAATATAAACTTATAAAAAAAAGGTTACCGGTAGTGTAATTGTTTACAAAATAAACAAAGATTACTACTATTCAATCAACAAAACAGTATGAAAGAGATTATTCTCAGATTAAATTGTAGTACACAATAAAACTGTCAGATCGGCTTGGGTCATTATTTGTTACCTTTTATCCTTAATTGATTTTCTGTATGGATCACTGGTGTTGTTTTAACAGTTTCATAGTTCAAATGAGGTCATGTTAAGGGAAAATAAGGTGAACGTTGTAAATTCCCGAGAAGATTATAGGTTTTGAAGGTTTTACATTAATTTAAGCTGCATTTGTATTCGCGGAAATATACCTGCCGCGAAATTCATGAAAATAAGTACACTGCGAAAAAAAAGTACATATACAGTAATTATATCTGATTATAATTTGAAATAGATATACACTATACATCATATCTAATTCTACAGAACTATTAATCATATCAAATGTTTTTTTTCATCATGCTTATAAGATATTGATTGATAATTGGTATATAGATCAATTACAGATGATCAAGTTACAGATCAAGTTCAAATTTTTGTTTCGGTCTAATAATTTTGTGCAGAGTTATGGTCCTTGGACTTGAAAAATTCACTCATATAATCAGTTTTCAACACTGTTTTTAGTTATGCTTGAAGATATTGACATGATATTTACTTTTTGTTTACACCATGACAAGTTATAGAACAAGTTAGCATTTTGTTCCAGTATAATGAATTTTTACCCGGTAGAGGACTATGTATTGCCATGCAATACTCTCAGAATGCTTGTTATTAGTAAAATTGGAAAAAATGAACCTTTTTCTTCTTATAAATATCAAGGTTTATACCTTTGATGCAATCATTTAGCTGTAAATTCTATATTTGTTGAAAAAATGCTATAATTAAGGCTTAACATAATGCATGTAATGAACTGATACTTTCTTATCAGATTTTTCCCGGCAGTGGGAGTAATTTTCCTGTAAAATTCAAGGTTTCATCTTACAGATTATGTAATAAAATTTTTCTGTTCACGATCAAAATTTCACTGTTCAGTTGTTGAAATTAGTGGGGGTAATTAAAATAATAATACTTAAAAGAAGTGATTTTTTGGAAGAAAATAGAGGTATGATACTTAAACAAGTGATTTTCATGTCATTATCTCAGATTCAGTACAAGGTCACCACCTGACATGACCTGCCATGATGATGACCGGTCATCCTATCAACACAGATGTTGGTTCTGATAACTTTAGCAACATAATTAGTTCCTGGATCATTAGTATTGTACATTTAATGCTACAGTAAAATTAAATCACTTAGTCTAGTAATTTATTTGTACTACTTAAATAGGTGATTATTAAAGAAAGACAACTCTTACTTCCAACATTTGTGGATAAATGTTACTTGAATCAGTGATTTAAAAATCACTCATTTAAGTAAGTCCCCTGACTGCTTAACCAAATGTTATGAAACTTATACAAAATGCTTATTACCACAAAATACAGATCAAGTTCTAATTTTGGTGGTGTCTCTTTAACCGTTTTAGAGTTATGCCCCTTTACAAATGGAAAAATTCAGCAATTTTTCGTTTCCGTTCTCTAACTTAAGTTGGCCTCACCCAAATGTTATGAAACTTATACACAATGCTTATTACACAAAATACAGATCAAGTTTACATTTTGGTGGTGTCACTTTTACTGTTCTAGAGTTATGCCGCTTTACAAATGGAAAAATTGCTGAATTTTTCGTTTCCATTCTCTTACTTCAGTTTGCCTCAACTAAATGTTATGAAACTTATACACAATACTTATTACCACTAAACTCAGATCAAGTACAAATTTGGGTAGCATCAATTTTACCGTTTTTCAGTTATGTCACTTTATAACTTTATATGATATGCAAGCGGGGGTATCATCTGTGTCCCATGGACACATTCCCCATGTATTTGTTTATAATTTATCAGAATGTCTTATATGGTTTCAAAAACAGATTTAATCCAGTGGGACAGTTTGTAATCCTGCTATTTTTAACTAAGGAATACATTGAAACTACTGGTACACTCAAAGCAAGGATTTTTGTTAAATCAGTAAGATGTTATTGGCCATGTTTTCTCTCCTGACATGTGGCAGCACTGTATGTTTTGCAATTTGAATGGAATTGGTTAAGCTTGTGATATATTCATCCTTCACCTGATAAAAGTGGATTTTTATACCAATTCAAAACCTGTTTTTATGCCCCCGCCGTAGCAGAGGGGGCATTAAGTTTTACCTTTGTACGTCTGTCCGTCTGTCGGTCCGTACGTACGTCCTAAAAATTGGTTTCCGTTCTCTAACATTAGTTTGCCTCAACCAAATGTTATGAAACTTATACACAATGCTAATTACCACATAACACAGATCAAGTTTGAAATTGGGTAGCATCACTTTTACCATTCTAGAGTTATGCCGCTTTACAAATGGAAAAATTGCTGAAATTGTCGTTTCTGTTCTCTAACTTTAGTTTGCCTCAACCAAATGTTATGAAACTTATACACAATGCTTATTACCACAAAACACAGATCACGTTTTAATTTGGGTATCGTCACTTTTACCATTCTAGAGTTATGTCGCTTTACAAATGGAAAAATTGCTGTAATTTTCGTTTCCGTTCTCTAACTTTAGTTTGCCTCAACCAAATGTTAAGAAACTTATACACAATGCTTATTACCACAAAACACAGATCAAGTCTGAATTTGGGTAGTGTCACTGCTCCCTGGAGGCTTGTAAATGAGCAGTGTATTGAAGATAACAGACAAATGAGATTTTCATTGTCCCTGAAAAAATTTGAAACGATTTGCGTCATAAATTGTTTTCGGGTAGGCTGCATTGTAGTGGGTAGGAAGGCAATAGCAAACAATATTAATTTTATTTTTTGGCCCCATATTAAAAATGTTAAGGCATGCATACCATTGATGGTGTTTATACAAATTATAGAGTTTAGCTTATTTAAATAAAGCTTTATGTATAAAGAGTGTTTTTATACTGTCATGACTGTATATGATTGTGATTAAATATTTAGGATGATGGCTGGGATACAGAACCATTTGTACTGACAGAAGTGGATGGGAAATTATATGGTCGTGGTTCCACAGATGATAAAGTATACTGACGTTATATGTTTTAATGTTGTCTTTTTGACACATTCACCATTTCCATTCTCAATTTTATTTAATAGTCTCTATGAAATATACCTCACTGAAATATTCCAAAAAAAGCCAAATTGCTTGTTGTTTAAGCAGTAAATTATTTTGTCTGAATGTAAGCCTGCCATTTCATCAGGTCTAAGTTTTCAGCATAAATGAGACTTGATAAGGAGTTGTATTGTAAGGGAGAACAAAATTGATGTTAGATATTTACATCTTCGTCAAGTCATATGGATAAGATGGCGAATTCACTTTTATTCATGAATGGTATTCTAATTTTCATTGTTTCATTGTTTCCAGCAAATCAGAAATTTAAATGCTAAAAAAAACAATGCCTCCGAATTGAATATGCCTTACACTGCATCAGTGCAAAAGGCTATTTTGTGGTACACTAGTTCGATTGTGAGGTTTTTATACAATGTGTGTTTTTGTTAGTTGTTTGATTGAGATTCTTCCTTGAGTAATTCCAGAAATTCTTAATGGAAAATTGAATGAGTTATCTGTACAGATTTGTATTGTAAGTTCTTTTATTTACCTTTATTTTTATTCCACTGATCAGGTTTAATATACTGTAAATTCAGAAATTATTGCGAGGTTTTTATTAATGCGAATAATGTGACTGGGTGAGAATCTCAAAAATAAGAATTCGCATTCTGCTATCCTATACATGCTATACATATAACTGTATGCATTTTTTCCTGAAATCGCAATAATTAATCTCACATCTTTGTTCTGTTTTCAAAAATCACAATCATAAATGCACGCCATAATTTTTGAATTTACAGTATTGTGCAGAGAGTCAGTCTATAATTTTGTGTTGATGGAAAATTCTGTTATAGTCTTTGATTAATGTATTCTACTTTTTCTAGATTTAGGACAACTAAGAGAGGACTTGGACTTCTTTTAAACTGAGTTTAACTGTGCGTATTGCTATGTGTTTCTTTATTCTACATTGGCTAGAGGTATAGGGGGAGGGTTGAGATCTCACAAAACATGTTTAACCCCGCCACATTTTTGCGCCTGTCCCAAGTCAGGAGCCTCTGGCCTTTGTAAGTCTAGTATGTTTTTTTAATTTTAGTTCATTTATATGTTTCGGAGTTTAGTGTGACGTTCATTTTCACTGAACTAGCACACAATTTTATTTAGGGGCCAGCTGAGGACCACCTCCAGGTGCAGGATTTTCTCGCTGCATTGAAGACCTATTGGTGGCCTTCGACGGCTGTTGTCTACTCTTTGGTCGGGTTGTTGTCTCTTTGACATATTCCCCATTTCCATTCTCAATTTTATAGACAATAATTGTTAGAAATTATCTGGGGACCTTTATCTTTATTTTGATTTCTATGTCATTTGGTCACTATTCCATTGATGTATTTTACCCCTTATCCCCTTTTATTCATATTCATAAAAGTCAAGATTTATAGAAGTAAATGATATTTTATAAATTATGTATATTTTGAATCTGATACATTTTTCAGGGTCCTGTATTAGACTGGATAAACACACTAGAAGCTATGCAAGAACTAAAGCAGGACATTCCTATCAACATCAAGGTAGTATTAAAGAAAGAATGTTTACTGTTGACATTCAAATAAAAATATTTTTTTATTATATTATAACAACATTTGCCTTCGATATACAAGCATTACAAAAATTAGATTTGTTGTCTCTAAGAACATGAAGATGGTGTCTGGATTTTCCATTTCAAATGTGTGAGTGCAAATTTATTAATCTAATATGTTAAATAACATGAATGTCTCCAAACTAAGGAAAGTTTTAGCTAAAACAGCCAGACATTATCTTTTTCCTATGACAATTAATGAAATTTTCTTTGATATTTCCACTATTTCTCACCAAATGAGTCAAAATGAAACTGAAATATCTTGAAAAGTATGTCATATGGTACAACTTTCTTTGCATTTTTGAAAGGTACAAATAGAAATTGACTCCTTTGATTCTTATACAAAAAAGCCTATATTTCAATTTGAAAACTTTATGATTATTTATTTTAGTTTCTACTGGAAGGTATGGAAGAATCTGGATCAGAAGGTCTAGATGATTTGGTCTTTTCCAAGAAAGATACATTCTTAAAAGTAAGTATGTATAATATGTTGAGCTGACCAGGGAATTTAATTTACTGTTAACAAATATTAATATTACAGATGCTTCTTTTTGGCTGTATATTATATTTCATTTATTCTTTATATCTGAGCATGACTGATTTTTTCAATGGTCACATAAATTTATTATGTTTATGTATTCATTTAATCACATGTGGTACTTCACAATGGGGAGAATTAGGCATGCTGATTCTGGCAGCGGTGTCTGCAATTTGCAAAAGTGATTTGGTCATTAAGAGAACCGCTTATGGTTAGACAATAATACATTTTAATATTTGGTATACAGTTGCATTAGCATCTTACTTTCATCGAGATTATTTTGCCCCAACCCCTCAGTCATGGTCTACTGATTTCGAAACTTTTGTATAGTTTAACTGTTAAAGTTTGCAGTTATGTCTGTTAAAGGGGAACCACTAATGATAAATTAATTTTCATGCCTCTGTGATATAATGTTTCGATTTAATTTGATTTTTGGTGTTTTAACGCCACTTTTAAGCACCGCTTTTGGGCTATTTCGTGGCGGCCAGTTTTTATTAGTGGAGAAAGCCGGAGTGCCTGGAGAAAACCGACCACCGACCTTCAATAGGAAAACTGACAATCCTAGTCAATTAAGATTGGAGTCCAGTGCACCCGCACGAGCGGGGTTCGAACTCCCAATCTCAGTGTTGACTGGCTAGTGATTACAGTAGTAACTACTTAGACCACTCGGCCACCGAGGCCCCTATAATGTTTCGCATTCAATTTATGATACTATAAAAATTAAGGTAATTTAAACTGAAATCAATGTGTCTTAATAACATTTCTAAAACTAATTTTAAATCTAAAATAATATATGATTTGTTTTTATTCTACAAAAGATTTTATTTTGATTGCTTTAATGACATAATAATGGACCTAAATGTCAACCTTAGTGTTCTCTGGTTGTTTTAATGCATGATTGCATGTCTAATGCATTAAATTAATAAACTTGTTTATTTCATTCGAAAATATGACATTAGAAATTAATTACACAGATCTTAATCTAAAATTAATCAAAAATAGCATTTGATCTAAAGTTTCCTGATTTTTTTTTATTTCAGGATGTTGATTATGTCTGTATCTCTGATAATTACTGGCTTGGGAAGACAAAACCTTGTATTACATATGGATTGAGGTAAACGTCTTCTAGCTGCTGTATTCCAGAGCAAAATTTTGTTGTAACATTACTATTCATTGATCTATAGTGACCTCATGTTGACATCATCATCCTTTGGTGGATAGTTGTTTCTTTGGCAATCATTCCACATGTCTGTTTTAGCTCACCTAACCAGAATGGTCAAGTAACTATTCTCAACATTCTGCCAGAGTATTCCATCTTTGTCATTGTCATTTAACTTTTACAAAAAATGTTCTCTGAAACTGTTTGGCCAATTAGAAATAAACTTGGCCACATCATCATTTGGGTATCTAGTTTAAAAATGTGTCAGATGTTCAACCTGCCAACCAACATTGCCGACATAGCTAGAAATAGAACATAGGGTTAATATAAAAGTTTTGATGAATATCATGAAAACCACTTTAGATAAAGAAAATCTGACTGGGAGGAAAAGTTCAGAATGGGGAGATCTAGCTACTGTCTATTTACATCCAAACTGCTCTACGACTTCTTTTAGGAGTTATTGCCCATAAGTGATGAGTTTTATAATTTTTGCCTATTATCTTGAAGTTATAACAGATAAAGAGATACTTCAAATTGTAAAAATAATCTACAAATAAGTCAAATGGCCGGAATTGTCAGTCTACTCCTTATTGTAGTGATTGCCCTTTAATGACGATTTTGACTAATTTGTTTCATGTTTGCCTAATATCTTGAAAATTATGATAGATAGAAACTTTACTTTGAAAAAATTATCAGCAAGACAAGATGTTTTATTAAGTCAACATGGCTGGAATTGTCCATTGACTCCTCATAGAAGTCAATTGCCCTAAAAAGATGAATTTTACAATTTTGTTTGCGTTTTTGCCTGTTATTTTAAAAGTATAATAGATAGAGAGAAAATTTAAATGGCAAAAATGATCCACAAGACAATATCTACAATCTAACAAATACTGTCACAAATTGCCTGACATTCTCACTGCACAACAATTTCAATAAGCAAACATATCAAGATCCAGAAAAGGAAATGAAATACCGTAAATTGGGAAATTTTGGCGTCAGGAATATTTTGGCGGTTTTCTCTATTTTTCTCTATTTTGGTGTGTGTTATTTTGGTGCTTCGTCCAATTGATATGTTTAATTTTGGAACAACAATAGTGAGCAGGCTCATTCATATTTGCCTTTATTTACCCGTTTATTGACAAAATATCATTGAATTTCTCAAACTAGAAACACGACTAAGTTAAATAAATGAAGGAATCAGATATGGATGAAATTGCAAATATTTCCGTATATCGTGGTTCAAAGCTGAAACAAAATATGAAATAAAGTCTTTAACATTAAAATCACTTTTTAAATAGATTATTTTTTTTACAAATATTATATGAAATAAATTTTAATCATCTCTATTGTAGTACATGTTAATCTATTGAAGATCAAGGATTTAAATTTTAATCCTTATGCCTCTGACAGTACATGTTAATTAATTGAAAATAAAGGATTACAAGAAGTTTTGATTCTTATTATCAATAACAGCGTCTAATCAGCAATAGCCTGGCATATTTATGACATGTGTGAATAAAAATCTATGTTGTGTTTTTTTAACAATTTCAGAAAATTGACAATTAAGTTAAAATTATATAGTGTCGTTGTCAAATTATACCAGGTATTTATTTGCAGATTTAGCTTTGTATAGAATTGTAGGAAATATACGGAAGATATAATAACATAAATTATTTTCCCCAACAATTAACATTACGATATTGTCGTACTGGTACACGATTTTTAATGTTTGATTTATTTTTGTGTGTTTAATTTTGGCACTTTCATTGGAGGCACCAATTAAACCAAAATAAAACTACAACCAAAATAACCCAATTTACGGTATTAATGTAGAAGTCCAGTATTTATTCATTTTCTGTATAAAAACAAACATAAAACCCATTGATAGAAACTTTTACCAACACATCCTTTGTGAGTTTTTTTTTATACTTAACTATTTAGAAAGATATTTATTCAAGCATAAAATATGTTATACAATTTCAACCCACTCCACTCATCATAATTGTTGAGTTTGGCTCCACTAGCCTCAAATGCTGGATCCATGCATGTTTTTTTAAAGAAAATCTTATAATCTATGGCATATGTCAAATATTTTCATCAAAAATTATACATCAAAATTTTTAATTTCAATGATTTTTTCTGATTTCAGAGGAATCTGTTACTTCTTTCTTGAAGTGGAATGTTCTACAAAAGATTTACATTCTGGTGTATTTGGAGGAACAGTGTAAGTTAGTCAAGAATTGATTTTATATCCACATCCTTTGAACTCTGGTGGATAGTTGTCTCATTGGCAATCATACGACATCTCCTTATTTTTTATATCGTTCAAGTAGTGAGATTTCATACTGTAAGTGGTGATGTCACTGCAAGATGGTTTTTCACATGACAATTAAATTGGGTGTGCATATTTGCAACAAGCTGTTGATTTTTTCCAGATAAAAATAAAGCAATATACTTATTTTCTGTTTTATTTTAACTGAATTTATAAGCATGTATGTGCATTTCCTATTATTTTAATATAAAAATGTACAAAATGCAAAAAAAACAACTTTTTTTATAAATAGACATGAGGCAATGACAGATTTAACAGCTATATTAGGATCATTAGTGGATGTGAATGGGAAAATACTGATTCCAGGTATCTATGATACAGTAGCACCTGTCACAGATGATGAGAGAAAGTCATATGGTCCTATAGATTTTGATTTAGTAAGTATCTTGTGCTACAGGACAGAGGCAGATTTATGGAGCTAGATATATGGTTAATACATAGGCTTTTTACATGTTCGATTCCTAACGGTTCCTAGTTTGGGGCCCCTGGCTCCCAATTTTTCAAAATCCTGGATCCACAACTGCAGTAGCTTTTATACTCCCACCTTGAAGAGGAGGAGCAGGTACATGCATATAGTGATGCACATGCTGGCCCTCTATTTACAATAGTAGTTTCCAAATGACAATTAAAGTACACTTGATCAACTCTCATGAACTTTGAATGCAATGTCATGGATCATGAAATACAGGTCAAGTTATCTATAACAACTTTGACAAACAAAATTTTACTGTTAAAAAGTTATTCCCCTTTATATTTACCTTCCAATTTTTATTTTAGTGTTGTTTCCAGTTAATACAAAAGTACCATTTGATGAAATCTTTTTACATTTTAACACACAGTTATGAAACATAACATTTTAATTTTGGGTTTTGGAAATTTACTGTCAATACAGATGGGGGTATCTGTGATCACTAGATCACATAGTTATGTTCTAAATTTTGTTCAGGCAGTAGGCCTAAACTCTGGTATTTTTGCGACATGTGAGTGTCAATGATAATGCAAAACAAGCGAAAATGATACGGGGTAGGCCCAGATAACTCCAAATCATAAGTTACCTTCAGGACATTGAAGAAAGCCTTGGGATGTCCAGGACAAAGTTTATAGATTAAAAGATAATTTTGATTTCTCTGTTTAAGTCTTTATGGATTTGATACTCCCATACTTTCTTTTAATTTGGTTTTTCAAACTTTAGGCAAAGAACTCTCATATTTTTCTTCAATTGAAATTCATCAGCATTGTCAGTCCTGACTGACAAGGATCAACAAAGTTCTTAAGTGTATAAACTATAAATAACCATAGAAAATGATACATAAGGCACAAGGACTAACAAACTAAAAAATGATTTCATAAACTCTGTTTACTTATTGGTTTCTTTATCATGCATAAGGGCTATTCCATTAAAATGTATGTGGGAGGGTAGGGAGGGACTTTCAAAATATCCCTACAACCAAGAACCATTTTTATACAACCGCAAAAAATTTTGTGTGTGTCGTATATTGGTATAATGTCGTCGTCGTCCGAAGACAAATTTGGTTTCCGGACAATAACTTTAGTTCAGGTGAATAGATCTCTATAAAATTTTACCAGTAGGTTCAATACCACAAAAGGAAGGTTGGGATTGATTTTGGGGGTTATGGTACCAACAGTTTAGGAATTAGGGGTCAAAAAGGGGCCAAAAACAAGCATTTTTGTTGTTTCCGGACAATAACTTGTGTGTAAGTGTATGGATCTTTCTGAAATTGTACCACAAGGTTCCATATCACAAAAGGAAGGCTGGGATTGAGTTTGGGTGTAATTGCCCGAATTGTTCTGGAATTAGGGGCCAAAAACAAGCATTTTTCTAGTTTCCAGACAATAACTTGTGTTTATGTGTATGGATCTCTCTGAAATTGTAATGCAAGGTACCATACCATAAATGGAAGGCTGGGATTGAGTTTTGGGTTAATTGCCCCAAATGTTCAGGAATTGGGGGCCAAAAAGGGGTAAAAAACAAGAATTTTTCTAGTTTCCAGACAATAACTTGTGTTTAAGTGTATGGATCTTTCTGAAATTGTACTGCAAGGTACCATAACACAAAGGGAAAGCTGGGATTGAGTTTGGGGGTATTTACTAAAAGGGGAAAAAAAATATTAGGGGGGTGATTTTTTTTTTCATAATTTTTTGGGGTTTTTTTTCTTTAAATTGTCCATTTTTGCATTTATTATTTCTGATTAATATTTAAAAGCAAAAAATTCTGATATGGCAGGAGATACACACCAAACATGACATGTAAATTATTATATGAAGTATTGTGCAACAGCACACTATTGCGCAATAGCAGGAAATCTTCAATTGCATAGTATTGTGCAATAGCAAGAAATCTTCAATTGCATAGTATTACGCAATAGCATAATATTGCACACTAGCAAGAAATCTTCAATGCACAGTATTGGGCAATAGCAAGAAATCTTCAATTGCACAGTATTGTGCAATAGCAAGAAATCTTCAATTGCACAGTATTGCAGAATAGCAAGAAATATCCAATTGCACAGTATTGCGCAATAGCACAATAGTGCCCAATAGCCAGAAATCTTCAATTGCATAGTATTGCGCAATAGCAAGAAATATCCAATTGCACAGTATTGTGCAATTGCAAGAAATCTTCAATTGAAAATTAATACAAATATTCCAACCCATTTCAAATTTTTAAGATTTTTCACCACATTTATTTTGTGTCAGAAACCTATATTATGTCAAAAATTTGATCACAATCCAAATTCAGGCAGTATCAAGCTTGAATATTGTGTCCAAACTTGCACCAACTGTTCAGGGTTTCAACCTCAGCGGTCGTATCAGGCTGCACTCAGCGAATCATTTTATTTAGATAATTTTGCATAATGGTAATAAGCAAATACTGAAAAAAGACCCATGACCCACATTCAATAATTAAACTTCCCTTCCTACCCTCCCACATACATTTTAATGGAATAGCCCTAATGGATTTGCTTTTGTATATAGGACGAATACAGAAAAGATGTTGGTGTGACTAAATTGATCCATGACAACAAACCAGATGCACTGATGCACAGATGGAGATTCCCTTCATTGTCCATTCATGGTAAAGAGTAAATTTTAATTAATTACAGTCAATTTATTATTATTCTTGGGATACCAATTTTCGTTGCTTTCTTGGGTATAAGTGATTCATGAATTTATATGTTCAATTAGGTACAAATTTTCTATAGGCTAATATGCAAACTTCAGCAACACCACAAAACCAAATATCTACCTACAAAAATACAATTTTCCTTGGTCCACGAAAATTGGTACCAACGAAAATGAATAAATCTACAGTATACACAGTGGACACACATACAAAATAAGTCAAGCAAATAATGTGCTTTGTTATAAGCTTTACAAACTTGGGGAAAACAAATAAACAGTGGTGATAAGAAGTATGAAAAATTTGCTTCAGATTATTATACATGTATTAGTGATACAAAATAAGATTATAAAAACCAAGAGTGGTAGAAAATAAAAAAAAAATTGACAAGGTCCTTCTGCACATACAAGATGCTTTTGTATGTATTGATAAAGTATTTCCATATTAATATATGCATTTATTATTGTGATCCCTTTTGACTGGAATATTTATTACTGCATATCCCTTACAGCTGTGACTTTTTTTTTCAATTGCAAATCCCTTGCGACTTGAAATATTGCTGGATTTATTCAATGTGATTGCAAATATAAAATAACGGAAATAAGTGGAAACCATCAATGCCCCTTTACCCTTATTTTTGAAGTATTTTTTTTCATTAGTTTCCAAATTTCCATTGTAATTCTAGGAATTGAAGGAGCTTTTTCTGGAGCAGGAGCAAAGACTGTGATCCCACGTAAAGTAATTGGAAAGTTCTCTATCAGACTGGTACCAGATCAGTTACCAGAGGAAGTAGAGAAGAAAGTTAAAGCACATATTGATAATGTTGTCAAAAAGCAAGGAAGTCCAAACAAAGTCAGGTTTGTTAAAAAAATGCAGTGAATTATTTCATTGGTTATAATTGAAATGGAATTGAGGAATCAAGGTAGTTCTTCACATCAACATGTACATGTATATGTATAAAATACTTGTGTAAAAGGTGTTATATACATCAATGAGACAGCAACCCAATGATAAAAGTAAGCAAAAATTTTCTAGAGGGTAACATACAGTTTTCAACAATAGACTGGTGTCTTATACAATACTCAAAGTCTTCAATAACTAGTGCTCAACAAAAACAGTTCAATAACCATGCTCGACTCAAACACTTTAATAACCTGTGTTGGACTGGCACAAGTCATTGTAGTGTTTATCAGTAACCTGTGTTAGACTGGCACAAGTCATTGTAGTGTTTATCAGTAACCTGTGTTAGACTGACACAAGTCATTGTAGTGTTTATCAATAACCTGTGTTAGACTGACACAAGTCGTTGTAGTGTTTATCAATAACCTGTGTTGGACTGGCACAAGTCATTGTAGTGTTTATCAATAACCTGTGTTAGACTGGCACAAGTCATTGTAGTGTTTATCAATAACCTATGTTAGACTGGCACAAGTCATTGTAGTGTTTATCAATAACCTGTGTTGGACTGGCACAAGTCATTGTAGTGTTTATCAATAACCTGTGTTGGACTGGCACAAGTCATTGTAGTGTTTATCAATAACCTGTGTTGGACTGGCACAAGTCATTGTAGTGTTTATCAATAACCTGTGTTGGACTGTGTAGTGTTTATCAATAACCTGTGTTAGACTGGCACAAGTCATTGTAGTGTTTATCAATAACCTGTGTTAGACTGGCACAAGTCATTGTAGTGTTTATCAATAACCTGTGTTAGACTGGAACAAGTCATGGTAGTGTTTATCAATAACCTGTGTTGGACTGGCACAAGTCATTGTAGTGTTTACATCTAGCATTGGCTATTGATGTTTCTTATAAAATAAGGAGTTGGTTCACTTACTCATAATATTGGCCCTAAAAATCTAAATTCTTTTTAAACTGTGATGATGTTGTGAAAACTACATCAAAACATATATGTTAAAATGTCCAATTGTTTCAGTTATAAAGTATTTTTTTCACCAACTGCGTCATATGTGATGTATTTGAGATGTCATAAATGTAGGTGAATTTGTGCACGCCTGATTTTAATATGTCAGTTTTCTGAAAAATTAACAGTGGCGCCACCCCTGGCCCACAAATATTTTGGCTGAAAACTTTTTAATATACCATAGTCTTTACTTTTCAACCAAAATTTCAATGGGCCAGGTGTGGCCCCATGTATGAAATAAAAAAATTAGGTAGAAAAAGATGACCAATTTCTAGAAAAATGGATTAAGATTAAATCTGTACCTATTTTAGGCTAATATATTTATCAACTATGAAGCAGATATACATTTTTCTTATTATACTTTCAAAAATAATACATTTAACAATACAATCACAGTGAGGTTACTCGAAGAATTGAAGTTTTAAAAATGCACCTTTACAGGGCCATTTACTGTTCCTGGCTCTACTCCTTTATCTGGCTGCAAAGGGAGCAAATTCACTAAGAAATAATTTTAAGTGTTGAAAGAGGAAAATTCATTTATGGAAACAGGTATTTTCCTCTGACTGTGCTAAATTTCAAAACAAGGTACTAGTTTCTAAAAATTACAAGTTATTAAAGTTGAAGGAAGAAATCACCAATTTAATATGTAATGTAATTGTACAAACCAGAAGCAGCAGTGAAAAAATAGGAAAGACTACATATAAAATCAACACTAGCGGCCATTTTGATTTTACTTTAAGGTATGAGCTCTCCCTAACAACTGTCAAGATGAAGGACAGCAATAAAAGTACTTTTCTTCAGATTATATTTTTTTTATTTCCCAGTATTCGTTGGATTTTTATCTCATGGACATTCCCTCAATATTCTTTCTTGTGTGATAATTAGATTATCATTTCCTTTTCAGTCTATCAATGGGCCATGGAGGAAAGCCATGGGTTAGTGACTTTAACGATCCTAACTATGTAGCTGGTAGAAAGGCAATGAAAACAGGTAAACCATGTTACATTAATTTCTTATTATGAAGATATTGATATTTTGAGTTAATGCCAATGATACAGCAAACCAACAACCCAATGAAACCAGGAGGTTCTTGTTTGCACTAGAATGAATAGTAGATGTTCAAAAATAGAAAGTATGTTAGGGGGTCTGATCCCGGATCCCGCTTATTGTTTTGTCAGAATCCCGTATCCTGCGTATCATTGTAATAATAGAGCTTGTAATTCATGTGTCCCGCCAGACTTCATTTCCCGTTTTTATACGACCGCAAAAAAATTTTGAGGTCGTATATTGGTATGACGTTGGCGTCGTCGTCGTCGTCGTCGTCGTCGTCCGGCGTCGTCGTCCGAATACACAATGGTTTTCGCACTCTAACTTTAGTTTAAGTGAATGGATCTCTATGAAATTTTACCATAAGGTTCAATACCACAATAGGAAGGTGGGGATTGATTTTGGGGGTTATGGTACCAACAGTTAAGGAATTAGGGGCCAAAAAGGGGCCGAAAATAAGCATTTTTGTAACTTCCAGACATAACTTGTGTGTTAGCATATGGATCTCTTTGACATTGTACCACAAGGTTCCATATCACAAAGGGTCAATGCTGGGATTGATTTTGGGGTTAATTGCCTCAAAATTTTAGGAATAAGGGGCCAAAAGGGGGCAAAAAACAAGCATTTTTCTAGTTTCATGACAATAACTTGTGTGTAAGTGTATGGATCTTTCTGAAATTTTACTACAAGGTTCCATTTCACAAAGGGAAAGCTGGAATTGAGTGTTGTGGTAATTGCCCAAAACGTTTAGTAATAAGGGGCCTAAAAAGGGGTTTAAAATAAGCATTTTTTAGTTTCTAGACAATAACTTGTGTTCAAGTGTATGTATCTCTCTAAAATTGTATTACAAGGTACCATACCACAAAGGCAAGGCTGTTATTGAGCTTGGTTTGGGGGGAAAGGGGGGTGGGGGTGATGAATCATAAGGGGGCGGGGGTCAAAAAAGGGGTAATTTTTTTTTTTCCTTTTTTTTTTGTTTAAAATTTACATTTTAAGTTAGTTATTTTTTATCACGAAGAGAAAGTAGGAATTGAGTTTTGGGGTTAATTGCTCAAACATTTATGAATAAGGGGCCAAATATTGGTCGAAAATAAGGATTTTTTTAGTTTGCAACAAAAACTTGTGTTCAAGTGTATGGATCTCTGTGAAATTGTATTGCAATGTACCATACCACAAATTGAAGGTTGTGATTGAGGTGGGGGATGATGAATCAAAAGGGGGTTGAAAAAATGTGTGGGGGGTAGGATTTTTTTTTTTCCTTTTTTTTCTTTAAAATTTTCCATTTAAAGATGGTTGTTTCAGATTTATATATGAAAGAAAATAATAATGATAGGGTTATATATCATGAGGAATTGAAATTTAAAATTATGTATATTGGAAATTTAGGTTACATTGGAAAGTAATAATTGGCTTTGGGGGGGGGGGGGGGGTTATTGCTCTAATGTTTAAGGAATAAGGGGAAAAAAGGTTAAAAAACAAGGGTTTCCATTTTAATAGACAAATAATTGAGTAAAGAACATTATTTAAAAGCAGTGTAAGGTTGGTAATTCAAACTCATTTAAATATCTCATCTACACTGCTTTTAAATTATGTAAATTGGAAATTTGCCAATAACTTTATTGTTAATAAATGCATTGGAAATTTGCCAACAATTTTAGTGTAATAAACTTCATTGGAAATTTGCCAATATAAAATTTTGCTGATGAAGGTTTTTTGTTTACCTTTAGCCTTGACTATGAAGTCATTTTCTATTTTTATAGCCTTATGATGTAGTTGAATTATTTAATACTTTGATGATGTGTTTAAATGGGGTTTTATCATGTTTATGGTTGCAAATTTATTGTTTTAGTATAATAAACTCCATTTAAAATTTGCCAATAAAAAAAATTTTTGTTTATTTTTAGCTATGATTATGATGTCATTTTCTATTTTACTTTTATGGTTGCAAAGAAATTTTTATTTTTAGATATTACTGTTAAATGATGCTGATTAAGGTTTTTGCTATGTTTAGCCATGACTATGATGTCATTTTCTATTTTAATATCTGTTATGATGTATTTAAATGGGCTTTTATGGTTACAAAGGAATTTTATTTTTAGATATTACTATAAAATGTTGCTGATGCTGATTAAGGATTTTGTTTATTTTTAGCCATGACTATGATGTCATTTTCTATTTTAATACCTTTATGATGTAATTTCCATTTTTAGATATTACTGTTAAATGATGCTGATTAAGGGTTTTTTGCTATGTTTAGCCATGACTATGATGTCATTTTCTATTTTAATATCTTTATGATGTATTTAAATGGGCTTTTATGGTTACAAAGGAATTTTATTTTTAGATATTACTTTAAATGTTGCTGATTAAGGATTTTTGTTTATTTTTAGCCATGACTATGATGTCACTTTCTATTTTAATACCTTTATGATGTATTTAAATGGGCTCCCATGTATTTAGATTTTTGATTATTTATACATGTTACCAAATTGGTCCACATTGAACAAAAACGGTCCAAATTTCAACTTTATTACATTACATCAAACATTGAATTCTACATATTCTTTGATATATTGAAATTAACAAACAATTTAGTTTATGGAGATTCCACCATAATAGGTAAATTAAATTTTTTCCAGTTCTTACACCACATTCATCCTGTGTCAGAAACCTATGCTGTGTCAAATATTTAATGACAATCCAAAGTCATAGCTGTATCAAGCTTGAATTTTGTGTCCATACTTGACCCAACTGTTCAGGGTTCGACCTCTGCGGTCGTATCAAGCTGCGCCCCAGCGAAGCATTTTATTAATCATTTAAATTTCACGTGCCACGTTTACAAAAAAATCCGCCAATTCCACATCATGCTTAGAACCTAATGAGACCCACATGTTAGTAAATCTTCTGGAAATAATTATTTTTTATCAGAGTTAATTATGAGAGAATGATAAAGAAAGATTTAACATAGACATCAGAAAGGAAATGATATCAAAATGTATAAAATTTCATAAAAACGATTTGTTGTTAAACTTGAACATATAGTTATGAAGAACTCTTCGTAAATGTGAAATGATTTGCTATAAAGTCACGTGACATCAACTACGGCCGAGATCACTTATAACGATGTCTATACAAATTATCAGACTGATCTCGGCCGTAGCTGATGTCACGTGACTTTATAGCAAATCACTTCACATTTACAAAGAGTTCTTCATAACTATATGTTCAAGTTTAACAACAAATCGTTTTTATGAAATTCTATACATTTTGTCATTGCAAAATCATTGCAAAATGCTGTTTTTCAAAAGATTTCTCCGATCATTTTTTAAATATTGATCTTTGAACTTTGAGGACTTAGTTTGTTGAATTTTCAGTAGCCGCCATCTTGTTTGATATGTAAACCATTGGTGTATTCTTCAAAACGATACTTCTAAGTTTAATAATTCATCATTCTTTCAAAATCTGATATTTTTTGTCATCGTAAATGGCTATTAATCAGATTTTATATTAACAACTAATAATAATTATATAATTACAATGTACTGTGAAATACGCAAATAACTACTAGCATCGTATATCAGAGATACGAAACTAAGTTTATTGTTGGGTGGTAGCTTTACACAGGCGGCTTAGTAATCAGTTAAAATCAATAGAGACGAGTCCCGTTAGTATAATAGAAAGTCCCTGAAAAGGGAAACAAAATTTTGTTGAATGAGGAAACACAGCAAACTTAAAGTTATATAAAGCTACTTTCTTGTAATTTTAATGTTCAGGAAATTATTGAACCAATGCATACATATATACTATACTAAGTCCTTTGTGTATGTTTTTCACATTTATTACGAATCTATAACATATTATTGACAAATAACATTTCTTCAGTGATTGTTGATTGCAAGATAATAAAATTTAGAGTTTGTTGCTGATGTTTATCGGATGGTGACATTCGTAAACAATCAACACAGAATCATGGAGGATGAGAAAAATAAGTTTAATTGGTAGAGCTATGAATATTTTCTTTTTAAATTTTCCAAACGTTCCCATTTGTTAATTAAACTTTTCCATAAAAGTGATTAAATGATTTGATGAAGTTAATTTGTTCTATAAGAACCAATAATTACTATTTACCTTCTAGTGCACACTTGTTTACATTCTTTTATCACTGTTTTTCCCTCACACTTGCGCTGTGCGGTAGCTAAAGTTCAAACGAGAGGTCTCATAGTTAAGGTCACTGCATTCAGAAAAATAACGGTGAATTAAAGTACAGAAAGACAATAATTCAAAAGCAGTACATTTCTGAAGATTTTGATGAGATAAAGGGATTCACTTTTACAAGAAAGTCTGCGTACACTTGTTATCTAGTAAAAATTTGCATTTCAAGTATACATGTATAAAACATATTCAACTTTTTTTTTAAATTTAAAGTATCATATGACTTTTATGCTATCTGAATGCGTTTCAGTTTTTGGAGTTGAACCTGATTTAACAAGAGAAGGTGGAAGCATACCTGTGACCTTGACCTTCCAGGAAGCAACTGGCAAAAATGTGATGTTGTTACCAATTGGTGCCTCAGATGATGGAGCCCATTCTCAAAACGAGAAAATTGATAGAAAAAATTATATAAATGGGGTAAGTAACAAAGGAAGATATATATATGTCCTCAAATTTTGTCTATTGCTTTGTTTTAATAATGTCTAAAGAAAGAATTTGATGTCAATAATTTCATAGAAAATGGATATTTTAAGTGTATTATTATGACATAATGAAAGTATTGTTTGAATACTGTTTGGCAAACTAATTCCCTGTTGAAAGAGAGTATAACTGGAAAAAAAACATTTTCACAGTAGATATGACATGGATGCATGAGCTTGTTCATTTTTTGAGTGTGTATTAAAAAAAGGATTCTCTACAAGGATAACTCAGTTTAAACTGTCCTAGTTAAAATACAAGTTATGTAAATGATGAAGTTTCCCTTCACTCATTCATTGCAGGTACCAGGTTTGCTATAAAAAGGGCCAATAAAAACAGTGGAAGCAAATGTAGAATTAAACAGAGTCAATGTTTTTTCATGAAAACTCAATTATGTCATTTTTTTATAAAAAAAAATATTTAACTCACGGGGGGTCTCTTCCTATATGATGGTATATACATATGTGCCGCTGGAATGGGTCCCTTTTTTGATACGTGAGATATATCAATGGGGTGCAATTTTACCGAGGAAATATATCAATAGGTAGTAATTGACCAATTGTGATATATTTAGGTACTATTTGAGCTGATAAATATATGAATGGGTTATGATTTCGCTGTGAAATATATGTATAGGTAGGGATTTCACAATTATTCAATATATGAATGGGGGTGTTTTTTAAATCCCAGCTGCACAACTGTACCCAAAATCCCATGTTGAGAACCCCCCCCCCCCCCCCTGATTTAACTCCTTTACAAAGAATTGGTATCATACTGCAATCAACTTCTTACATTCATTTTTCCATCTGTTTGTCTGTATATATATACATGTAACATTTTCCAAAAGACCAAAAAAGTGAAAAAGTATATTTTAACAAAACACATTTGACTACATAACAGGTCGAACAACAAATGTTCTTAAACCCTGCTGACTGCCATTGGCGATTGCCAAATAAATGGATCTTAATTTTAGATTTAATACTAAACAGAAAACAATAAACTTGCGGAAAAGATGATATACAACAAACAAAAGGTGCAAAGGTTTTTGTACACCATATCTGGATTTCGACAAATAATGTCTCTTCAGTGATGTTAGGAATCGAAACAGTATTTTTTTTTAAATATACTTTTTCACTTTTTGGTCTTTTGGAAAATGTTGTTTGTGCTGTATTTAGACCCCTCTTACAAGAAATTTGTTTTGCATGCACACGTATCAAAATTGCTGTTTTTATTCAATGCAATCATAGGTTTGAACATTGTTTTCAATTTAGACTTGTTTATATTTTTTCGTTTGGGCTTGTATTATATTTGCCTTAGGGTTTATATGATCCGTTCATGCTATTTTGACTCCCCAAAATTCAAGAGTCTATCGACTCTATCCTAAATTGAGGTAAATTGTTGGGCTTTCCAAATACCGTTTCGATTCCTAACATCACTGAAGAGACATTATTTGTCGAAATCCGGATATGGTGTACAAAAACCTTTGCACCTTTTGTTTGTGGTATATCATCTTTTCCACAAGTTTATTGTTTTCTGTTTAGTATTAAATTTAAAATTAAGATCCATTTATTACATCGGTGATCCGTTTATTTGGCAATCTCCAATGGCAGTCAGCAGGGTTTAAGAACATTTGTTGTTCGACTTGTAAGTCAAATGCGTTTTGTTAAAATATACTTTTTCACTTTTTTTGGTCTTTCGGAAAATGTTGTTTGTGCTGTATTTAGACCCCTCTAACAAGAAATTTGTTTTGCATGCACACGTATAAAAATTGTGGTTTTTATCCAACACAATCATAGGTTTGAACATTGTTTTCAATTTAGACTTGTATATATATATATGTATATATCTTTTGTTACATATAACTCAACTTCTGAGTTGATATATGGTATATTACAGTCAAACCTGTATATAAAGGTCACCCTTGGGACTAGGAATAGTAGACTTTGAATTTAATGTCAAATTCATATGTATTACTATAATGGAACAAGATTAGGTTGACTTGATAAGACAAGTTTCCACTTAATAGAGGTTACCTTTATAGCAGGTTTTTCTGTACTTTTAGAACATCCAGTTGTACAGTAAAAGCAATTTTCATATTTGCTGCGCAGTCACTTTCTATCTGATGATACTTGAAATTTTCACTATACCATTCAGCATTAAATTTTTCATCAATGACTTAGAATAATGAGTTTAGATTATACATTGCATGTAACTGTTTGTAAAGATCGTGGTGTATTTCATGTTCACAAGAATATGATTACTCATGAAACAATTCATGCATACACTACCTTTTATCATGTTTATGATCACCTGAGATTATTACCATTTTTGTCTCGCCTGCGACGAAAGTCACAGTATGCGAGACTTAGGTATTACTATCCTGCGGCGGTGGCTTAAACTATTTGTGTAAAGCTTTATATATCAGAAGGTAGAAGACCGGGATGCTTCATACCTTGTATGCAGATAACTTATGTTACGAAGTTTCCGTCTGTCATATGCTCATTGTCCTTGACCTCATTTTCATGGTTCAGTGACTGCTTGAAAAAGAATTACAGTTTTTATACCCCACGAAACGAGTTGCGGAGGGTATAATGTTTTTGACCCGTCCGTCCGTCCGTCTGTCCGTCCGTCAGTCCGTCAGTCCTGTTTCTTGTCATCGCAACTCCTCTCAAACCACACAACAGAATTTCACGAAACCTTTGAACTTATTTACTTTAATGTACTACTGCAACAGTTTGTCATCGCAACTCCTCTGATACCACACAACAGAATTTCATGAAACCTTTTTAGATAATAAGGACATACTATGTAGATGTGCATATCGACAGAAAATTACGGTTCAATTTTTTTTCTAGGAGTTACGCCCCTTTGAACTTATTTGCTTCAATGTACTATGCAACAGTTTGTCATCACAACTCCTCTGATACCACACAACAGAATTTCATGAAACCTTTTTAGATAATAAGGACATACTATGTAGATGTGCATATCGACAGGAAATTACGGTTCAATTTTTTTTCTAGGAGTTACGCCCCTTTGAACTTATTTACTTTAATGTACTACTGCAACAGTTTGTCATCGGAACTCCTCTGATACCACACAACAGAATTTCATGAGACCTTTTTAGATAATAAGGACATACTATGTAGATGTGCATATCGACATGAAATTACGGTTCAATTTTTTTTCTAGGAGTTACACCCCTTTGAACTTATTTGCTTCAATGTACTACTGCAACAGTTTGTCATCACAACTCCTCTGAAACCACACAACAGAATTTCATGAAACTTTGTAGATAATAAGGTCATACTATGTAGATGTGCATATCGACAGGAAATTATGATTCAATATTTTTTCTAGGAGTTAAGCCCCTTTGAACTTATTTGCTTCAATGTCTTCTGCAACAGTTTTTCATCGCAACTCCTCTGAAACCACACAACATAATTTCATGAAACTTTGTAGATAATAAGGACATACTATGTAGATGTGCATATTGACAGGAAATTATGATTCAATTTTTTTTTCTTACACATATTTTATTTCTCCAATGACAATGTGAGGACGTGGGGTATGTGAGCGCGCTCACTAAGGTTCTTTAATTTTGTCATGTGAATTTCTCACTTATTATGAGTAATAGAGTAGCTATATTTGGTATATTGGTTCCTTACAACGTCTATATGTCTGTCAGACAGGGTTAACCTGACCTTGACCTCAATTCATGGATCATTAATCAAGGTTAAAGTTACGTGATTATGTCTATTTCTCAAAAACTTCAAGCAGTAGGTCAACTATAGGTGGTGTATAGAATGATTTTAAAGGGTACGTGTCAGACTGGCAGGTTTCATCTGACCTTGACCTCATTTTCATGGTTCATTGGTCATCATTAATTTTTTGTGTTTTGGTCGGTTTTTCAAGTACTATAAGCAATAGGTCAACTATATATGGTTTATGGAATGATTGTAAGGTGTACATGTCTGTCTAGCTGGTGTCATCTGACCTTGACCTCATTTTCATGGTTCATTGGTCAATGTAAGTTTTTGTGTTTTGGTCTGTTTTTCAAATACCATAATCAATGGGTCAACTATATTTATACCCCACGCAACGAGTTGCGGAGGGTATAATGTTTTTGACCCGTCCGTCCGTTTGTCCGTCAGTCCGTCAGTCCGTCAGTCCTGTTTCTTGTCATCGCAACTCCTCTCAAACCACACAACAGAATTTCACGAAACCTTTTTAGATAATAAGGACATACTATGTAGTTGTGCATATCGACAGGAAATTACGATTCAATTTTTTTTCTAGGAGTTACTCCCCTTTGAACTTATTTACTTTAATGTACTACTGCAACAGTTTGTCATCTCAACCCCTCTGAAACCACACACTAAAATTTCATGAAACTTTGTAGATATTAAGGACATACTACGAAGATGTGCATATCGACAGGAAATTACGATTCAATTTTTTTTCCAGGAGTTACGGCCCTTTGAACTTATTTGCCCAATATACTACTGCAACCTTTTGTCATCGCAACTCCTCTCAAACCACACAACAGAATTTCATGAAACCTTTTCAGATAATAAGGACATACTACATAGATGTGCATATCGACAGGAAATTACAATTCATTTTTTTTTCTAGGAGTTACGCCCCTTTGAACTTATTTGTTTCAATTTACCTCTGCAACAGTTTGTCATCTCAACTCCTCTGAAACCACACAACAGAATTTCATGAAACTTTGTAGATAATAAGGACATACTAGGTAGATGTGCATATCGACAGGAAATTATGATTCAATTTTTTTTCTAGGAGTTACGCCCCTTTGAACTTATTTACTTTAATGTACTACTGCAACAGTTTGTCATCTCAACTCCTCTGAAACCACACAACAAAATTTCATGAAACTTTTTAGATAATAAGGACATACTACGTAGATGTGCATATTGACAGGAAATTACGATTCAATTTTTTTTCTAGGAGTTACGCCCCTTTGAACTTATTTGCTTCAATATACCTCTGCAACAGTTTGTCATCGCAACTCCTCTGAAACCACACAACAGAATTTCATGAAACTTTGAAGATAATAAGGACATACTATGTAGATGTGCATATCGACAGGATATTATGATTCAATTTTTAGCTCACCTGGCCCGAAGGGCCAGGTGAGCTTTTCTCATCACTTGGCGTCCGTCGTCCGTCGTCGGCGTTAACTTTTTACATTTTGAACTTCTTCTAGAGAACCACTGAATGGAATGAAACCAAACATGGCATGAATGTTCCTTATGAGGTGCTGACAAAGTGTTGTTACTTTGTAGCCGATCCATCATCCAAGATGGCCGCCAGCGGGGGACTTAGTTTAACATAGGACCCTATGGGAAATGCATACAAATGACTTCTTTTAGAGAACCACTGAATGGAATAAAACCAAACATGGCATGAATGTTCCTTATTAGGTGCTCACCAAGTGTTGTTACTTTGTAGCCGATCCATCATCCAAGATGGCCGCCAGCGGGGGACTTAGTTTAACATAGGACCCTATGGGAAATGCATACAAATGACTTCTTTTAGAGAACCACTGAATGGAATAAAACCAAACATGGCATGAATGTTCCTTATGAGGTGTTGACCATGTGTTGTTACTTTGTAGCCGATCCATCATCCAAGATGGCCGCCATCGGGGAACTTAGTTTAACATAGGACCCTATGGGAAATACATACAAATGTCTTCTTTTAGAGAACCACTGAATGGAATGAAACCAAACATGGCATGAATGTTCCTTATGAGGTGCTGACCAAGTGTTGTTACTTTGTATCTGATCCATCATCCAAGATGGCCGCCAGCGGGGGACTTAGTTTAACATGGGACCCTATGGGAAATACATAAAAATGTCTTCTTTTAGAGAACCACTGAATGGAATGGAACCAAACATGGCATGAATGTTCCGTATGAGATGCTGACCAAGTGTTGTTACTTTGCAGTCGGTCCATCATCCAAGATGGCCGCCAGCGCGGGGACTTAGTTTAACATAGGACCCTATGGGAAATACATACAAATGTCTTCTTTTAGAGAACCACTGAATGGAATGAAACCAAACATGGCATGAATGTTCCTTATGAGGTTCTGACCAAGTGTTGTTACTTTGTAGCCGATCCATCATCCAAGATGGCCGCCAGCGGGGGACTTAGTTGAACATAAAACCCTATGGGAAATACATACAAATGTCTTCTTTTAGTGAACCACTGAATGGAATGAAACCAAACATGGCATGAATCTTCCTTATGAGATGCTGACCAAGTGTTGTTACTTTGTAGCCGATCCATCATCCAAGATGGCCCCCAGCGGGGGACTTAGTTTTACATAGGACCCTTTGGGAAATACATAAAAATGTCTTCTTTTAGAGAACCAATAAATGGAATGGAACCAAACATGGCATGAATGTTCCTTATGAGTTGCTGACCAAGTGTTGTTACTTTGCAGTCGATCCATCATCCAAGATGGCCGCTAGGGGGGAGGGGGCTTAGTTTAACATAGGACCCTATGGGAAATACATACAAATGTCTTCTTTTAGAGTACCACTGAATGGAATGAAACCAAACATGGCATGAATGTTCCTTATGAAGTGCTGACCAAGTGTTGCTACTTTGTTGCCGATTTACTGTTCAAGATGGCCACCAGGATATTTTATTAAATAACGGGACCAATATTAATCAAAATTTGGCCTCAATCATTATTTGGGTATCTGTTATGATTTTTATCTATCTTTACATGATTTCTAAAACCAAAGTAGAGTCAGGTGAGCGACACAGGCTCTTGAGAGCCTCTAGTTTTTTCTTACAGTTATTTTATTTCTCCAGTGACAATGTGGGGACGTGGGGTATGTGAGCGCGCTCACTAAGGTTCTTTAATTGGTGTATGAAATAATTGTAAGGTGTACCTGTCTGTGTGACAGTTTTTATCTGACCTTGACCTAATTGTCATGGATCTTTAAAATGTTAAGTTTATGTGATACTTGTAGTAAAACCTTTATCTTAAAGACTTTCAACATAAAATCAATGGTCAGTAAAACAGGCGAGACATTTCAGCGTGTGCACTGTTGTTTCTATTTTGGTCATAAAGTTTTAACTGTTTCATGAAGTTCTTATACATTCTTGGCTTTGAGCGTTCTTGATGAAGGTTAATCCAAAATAGCCTATAGGACATGTAGAATTTAGAAAGTGTTATTTTCATCTTTTGTTCAAAGAATTTTAACCTCCCTTTGGAAAATGTAAATAACAAAGTATAACAGATCTACCAATGTGTGAAAGAGCTTTTCATTGGTCCAATTTAAAAAAGTTTGCATTATAACTGACATTCTGATTGGTTCAGACTTCATTACAAATATACTTAGAGATTGCACAACTTTATTACACAGTTAACAAACATGACAAAGCAATACATTTTGAATCGATTGTTTTATAAAATTGGTTTTTTTTTTTCTTTTGTAGGCAAAAGTATTGGGAGCATATATCAAAGAGTTAGCAAAATTGTCATGAACTGTACATGTGTTGTGTGTGACGTCGCCTGTCTCGGCTAAACAGAAATATAATTGTATTATGCAGTGCCATACCGTTTGACAATTAAATTGACTGTAGAATACAGCATAGTGCTAGATTTTATTTTTTTTATTTATATAAACAGCAATGGTTGGGTTTTCAGCACAAATGTCTTTTTGAACAAATCTGATATTTTTATACTGTTTGAACAAAATAAAACATTTCTATCACTAGTAGTGTTATCTACCACTAATAGTGTTATCTACCACTAGTAGTGTTATCTACCACTAGCAGTGTTTGATGTGTTATTGTGTTGTCAATATAACTTAACATTAATAGCTATTGTGCTTGTTTCTAAGACATTTCACGTACAGCAATGTATTTCATTAGTGATATCAGAATTGACCATTTCAAAATCTAAAGGATGAGTTATTTCATTGTTTGTACCCCAAAATGAAAAATTACGGAAAGTCATTGGTTAAATGTCCATTCTTTTTCCAATTTTCATATTAAACTTTATAATAATAAATGTGAAATAATAACTACTAGTAAATTCAGAAAAATTCAAAAAATATATTTGATATTTTATAAAATTTCTTCTAAAACTGTTCAACTCATTACTTCGATTATAATCTAAAATAAAAATATTTATGACAGTTTGAAAAAAGGTTTTTGTTTAACAATTTTTGAGTTACAATAAAAAGTAAGTGTATCATTCCGCATCTTAAGTCAGATTCTTTCTTCTTATTTTATAAGGTGGATCACCCATTTCAGCTTGGTAAAGATTTCAAAAAAGTAGATTTCATTGAGCATGTACATTTACATAATGACTGAGTGTTATCTAAACATTTTTATTTTATATGTTTCACAACCATAATCAATTTCATCCAATTAAAGATAAATATTTTTTACTAAGTGTAGTGGAGTGGGACATGTAAAAAGTCTATGCATTAACCATATATTTAGTTTCATAAGGGGGGCACATCCCCCCCCCCCTTAAATCTGCCTCTTCTCAAAACTGTTTCCAATATATGATGACCAATTTATTAAGTTGTATTTGTGTTTTTTCTTTTACTAAATATCATAACTACATTTTAAACTTTGAGAAATTATAATCCCATTGTAGAGCACCATTTACATATATTATCTTGTCTTGTATCTTTTTCTGTAAAAACTGCATGAACCTGATTTCCAGATAACACTGTCATCAGTAAATTGTGAAGTTTAACAAAATAAATCATTGACCATTATATGGAATAAATTGGACTAATACAACTATGAAGGGTACCATTTCTAGTTTGCTCAACTCTACACAATACACGCAATTTTCTATGAAGCTATGTACCAAATCGTCTTTAGTCTGCTACACAATAAAGTGACCAGACATATGACCCCTTATTCAACTTGCACTAGCACCACAGATATTCTTTACTGACAGCTACCAGTTATTCTGCCCAACGTGCATTCATCAACATTACCTAAATAAGCTGGTTTTTGCACTACACTTAACGTAACCCAGATACTATATTTGGTGTATGGTATGATTGTACGGTGTACATGTCTGGATGGCAGGGTTCATCTGACCTTTACCTCATTTTACATTTTACTTTTTGTGGTTAATTTCATGATTGTATAGTGTATTTGTCCATCAGTGCTGATATTGTTGCTTATTTTATACCATTGAAGCTAGTTTCATTGTTAAGCACTGTTTTGAATACGAGTGTTCTTAACCGCCTCAGTGGTCTCATGGTAGTATGTTCCCCTACAGTGCGGGATATTGTGGGTTCGAGCCCTGGCCAGGTCAAACCAGACTTTAAAATTGGTATTTGTTACTTCTACGTTTAGCATGCTGCATTAAGGAGTTAGAGCAAAGACTGGTCGGCTCAGAGTCGGAATAATGTTTCCGGGTAAGGTGACACGTCTACCTGCAGACTGTAACATTGTGAATTAGCACGTTAAAACTCCAGCTCAGCGTGTCGGTTTAGTACAAAGCAGGGTTAATATTCATATAACATTAACATGTTCTCGTCCTGAATATGCATATTGATTTGCCGCTGGATGTTAAGCAGCCGTCCATCATCATTATCATCTTTGGTGATATATTTTGTTTCCAATTTTGACTTTTTTTCAACTATCAATCAGGCAGATTATCAGTGATTATTCAAAGATAATTTGAGCTGGATTCACTGTAATTCCATTTACAAGTAAATTTCATTTACCCCTATTGCCAAAAGATCACATTTCTCTAACAAGAAATTTTTTACCTGTATACAAAAATTTTAAATGTTTAAAAATCTTGAACACACCAAAATGAAAATCTGCAATCCACGTCAATAAAGAGCTGCGACATGAGCACATGATACACCCGTTGCTTTTTCAATCAAATAAAGTTCCAGAACTCCTCAATGTCATATCAGAAATTTATAAAAAAAAACTATAGGGAGCTTATAATAATAGATATAAACCAGTCACCAAAGTTTCATGAATACTGATCAAAGCTTTTTGAGTTATTGTCCAAAAACTTGAAAATCCCCCCTTTTTTATGCCCCTGCCGTAGTGGTGGGGGCATTTAAGAATACCCTTGTCCGTCTGTACGTACATCCCAAAATTGGTTTCCCTTCTCTAACTTGAGTTTGCCTCAACCAAATGTTATGAAACTTATACACAATGCTTATTACCACAAAACACAGATCAAGTTTCAATTTTGGTGGCATCACTTTAACCGTTCTAGAGTTATGCCCCTTTATAAATGGAAAAATTGCAAAATTTTTATTTTCTTCTAAATATCAAGTAATTTTTATACGACCGCAAAAAAAATTTTGTGGTCGTATATTGGTATGACGTTGGCATCGTCGTCGTCGTCGTCCGAAGACACATTAGTTTTCGCACTCTAACTTTAGTTTAAATGAATGGATCTCACAACACAACAACAAATGGAAGTTTTTAACGACCTTGACTGGCTATACAGCCCTTACACGGTCGGCCCTGGCTTGCGCCTTTTTGGGCATTAAATAATTTAATTTTTACCATATGGTAATGATATAATTTAGAATGACAAAAAAAAAAAAAAAAAAAAAATTATTAAAAAACAATATAGAGTAAAATTTTGAATAACTAAATGAATAAATAAATTGATGAATATGTTAATAAATAAAGAAAAGAGAAGAATATAAAAATAAAAAAAATAAAATAATATAAAAATGTTGAAATTTTTATATAAAACATAAAATAAAAAAAAAAAGATAAAATAAAAAATATATACGTAAAAATAAATAATTAATAAACACGGAGCCACCAGAAGTAGGAACAGGAGGAAAGCTAGGCCAAGCAAACAGCAGAGAACGGCAGCAACGTTGTCCTGGTACACCAGCAGCCAAGTAAAGAGCGGAAAATTTTGATATGCCAAATTGAGTATGTGAATTTATTTGCCAAATATTTTGTATAAACCGAAAGATGCCTAAATTGTGTATGCGAGTTTTGCAAAAATAATTAGTAAGATGTTTTGTATGTACTATAAAAAAAGAAAAAAAAAGAAAAAGAGAATTAAGTACAATAAAAATAAAATAAATAAAAAACCAAAGGGTGTATGTATAATTTTGACTGCTTTGTGCTAGTGCTACTTATACTGAGACTTTATAGTGCTAGTACACTGGAACGCTGCCCGCAGGAAGACAGCGCCCCACGCTAATTAAAACTGGGTTAGCGCAAACCAGATCTTGCGAAGTACCATTTTTTAAGTCTTTGATTTGACTTGCGGCTTTAATAAATGAATGGTAGAATAAAATTTTTTAAAAAAAAGATAGTCCAAAAAGTTAAACACAAAAATAACAAAAACAAATATTTTTGGGAGCTGCTAATTTGGAAAAAGAAAAAGCCAATGATGTGTGCGATTTTTAGTTCTTTGTTCAGTTAGCACATTCTAGCATTTTAGATTTTTATTACTTTAATAGTATGAGAAAAAGACATACTACTACCTATAAAGAAACATTTGTCCTTACACTTTCCTATATGATACACATTCACGGCGGGGGCTTACGATGAAATATGTATCGTCGCATTTTATATGTTATATTGACACCAAGCACTTCGGGCTACAGATGAAGCAATATAACACGCCTACTACAATTTAGTTAATAAACAATTTTGACAGTAGCCGAAACAGAAGTACCTATTGAACCCTTATCCAAAATTAGCCCTTAAACCGATTCGATACACACTTCACCGCGGGGGCTTACGATGAAATATGTATCGTCGCATTTTATATGCTATATTGACACCAAGCACTTGGGGCTACAGATGAACCAATATAACATGCCTATTACAAATTGATTTAAAGTATGTTTTAGAGAAAGTCCGAAATGATATTTTAACCCTTATAAGAATTTGCCCTTAAGTGGAACGGCATTTAGTTTATATAACCTTATGGTAGTTTATGTCTGTAATATACTGTATCAAACATGACCAGATATATTGTTGATTTTCTTTTGGAGGGTCTAGTAATATTTTTACATTTAGGTTTTGAGGGGATCTCAATGAAATTTTACCATAAGGTTCAATACCACAAAAGGAAGGTGGGGATTGATTTTGGGGGTTATGGTACTAACAGTTAAGGAATTAGGGACCAAAAATAAGCATTTTTGTAACTTCCAGACATAACTTGTGTGTAAGTGTATGGATCTCTCTGACATTGTACCACAAGGTTCCATATCACAAAGGGAAGGTTGGGATTGATTTTGGGGGTAATTGCCTCCAAATTTTAGGAATTAGGGGCCAAAAAGGGGCCAAAAACAAGCATTTTTCTAGTTTCATGACAATAACTTGTGTGTAAGTGTATGGATCTTTATGAAATTGTACTACAAGGTTCCATATCACAAAGGGAATGCTGGGATTGATTTTGGGGGTAATTGCCTCCAAATTTTAGGAATTAGGGGCCAAAAAGGGGCAAAAAACAAGCATTTTTCTAGTTTCATGACAATAACTTGTGTGTAAGTGTATGGATCTTTATGAAATTGTACTACAAGGTTCCATATCACAAAGGGAAAGCTGGAATTGAGTTTGGGGGTAATTGCCCAAAACGTTTAGGAATAAGGGGCCAAAAATAAGCATTTTTCTAATTTCCAGACAATAACTTGTGTTCAAGTGTATGGATCTCTCTGAAATTGTACTGCAAGGTACCATACCACAAAGGGAAGGCTGGGATTGATTTTGGGGGTAATTCCCTCAAAATTTTAGG